GTGACAGGCAGTTCAAAGTATTCGTGGATCACCCCAGCAGAGCCGATATAGTCGACGGCCTCCACCGAGATCGAGGCAACAAGAGTGTCGTTGAAGGTCGTGCCGTTGGTGAATTTAATCACCTGGACGTCGGGGGACTGACCAGGAAATCTGGGGCTGAATCCATCCCCAGATCCCATCGCGAACTGCGCAGGGTTGACGAATAATGAATTGTACTGGGCATCGGGATCTTGGCTGAGCGCGCGCCATGCCTGCGCCTCGAGAAATTCCACGATTGGGACACCATCGATACTTTCGATGTCGTACACATCAGTGTCATTGGCGACAAACTGCTCAAAGTCACTCCGAAGGTAGACTCTAGGAAGAGCAGTGGCGTTGTCGGCCACAGACACAACGGATGAAAGGCTGCCGAACTGGAAAACGTCCAGGATAGCGGGTTTGTACACGAAATGACCATCTGAGGCTTGGATGAACTACTTGGATATTAGCACCTCTCACCTGTCCAGCAGATGCAAGCGATGTGAACTTACCAAGTAAGACAGCTCGAGTGCAAAATCCACTTGACTATCATATTCGTCGTTGGTGAGCTTCGCTCGGATCTGGCCGAATCCAGACAAGACATCCACGCCAGGGATGAGATAGAAATCGGGAGGGGCAGCGAGGGGCTCCAGTGTACTTTGGAATTGAATGTAGGGTTCTAGGTAGTTGAGGAGGCCCATGTCGTTTTCCTTGTCCACTGGAATCGACTTGAGACAGTTGTAGGCTATCGACGGAAGCACAAAAGCCCTTGTCGCCTCGGGCTCCGCCGACATGAAGGCCTCAGCCCGTGATTTTGCAATAGCACAAGGCGTGTCCTCTGTGGAATGCGGCTCTGGCGCCGTCGTCGTAGCGTGGTGGTCGTTGGCAACTGTGGTACTGACAGCTGCTGCGGCAGCGGTGCCAGAAAGGCCAAAGGCCCAAATGAGTGAACGCATGGTGGGTGTCAGAAGCCGGTGTCTGGGCTTCAATGTGAGAGATGTGTATCAACAAAAGGTCAAAGGACTAATACGGTGGTGATAGTTGAGGTTGGTGTTAATTATCTAGATTGAAACAGGATTTCCTACGGCTCTTATATACAGGCTTTCAATCGGCCGAGAAATGTTCCACTCCACGAATTCGGCGCTCTGCTTGGATTGACTCCACATCTAACCACGCTTGGGGAACAAAACTCACACAGAGAGCCTGGCATCCGGTGCGTGGTGGGCATCCGGGGCATCATCGCACAAAGGACTGAATTTGGGTAAGCGTGACTCGAGTCTGCGCTACTGGCTTTAGCACGCAGACGGCGTTGCCGTTGATGTTCATGAAAGGGCCCACCACGACATCATAAGCTCCAGTGGGCAAACAGCATCAGCACTTGAAATACCGATGGGGTCTTTCTCAATCCTTCAATGGCTGGCGCGGAGGCTATTTGGGTGGGCACGTTCAGGGCGCAGAGCTTATGTCGGCAAGAACCTGTCCGAAGGCGATGACGGAAGAATGCTCTCCTAGGCCCAATGCACGAAACGGACAGGCTTGTGTGTTGCGAGGTAGGCATATCCGGAAGTTCGTGTCAGGGAGAACTGGAAAGTAATGCAAAACCAAATTTGCTGGAATGACTTCGCTTAACCTACGCACCTAGCATATGAAGGTTACTCTTGATACGACATGGGAATGTTTAAAATGCTTATTTCGTTGGCAGGGGGAGCAAGACACTGAGGAATTCGGTCCACTGGACTATGGCATTCACGCAAGACCGACGAAACGGTACTAGGCCCCGCGAAAATGAAAAATGCCAGTCTCAACATTGTTGAACGGATGAAGAGGTGTAGAAGAAGGCCGGAGTTGGGCGTTGGATTTGCTTGACCCATGAGCGCACCCGCAAAAGCCTTGTATGGCAATCTACTTACCACCGTCCGTCCATAAATATCACCTCCGTGTCGGTGGAATTGTGAGACTGTGATTTCGAAATTCTAATTGGATCTCGGAAAATCCTTAGGTAGCTCGCGAGTTGTCGTTGCAGTAAAGCGCTTACTTTGAACTGATCGTTGACGTCAGACAGTCCCAATATCGCTACAAAGTCGACGTGACAGCGGGCAAGCTCCTCTGCGGGCTCCATGGATGCTAAAACGCCAGGATTTATTTAGCGTTGGTCCATCCCGCAATCGCTTCATCGAACGACTCGCGCCCCGGATATTCTGAGCTGGCACTGGCCGGCTGCCGATGAGACCAGTCACCAACCATTGGTGGCGGTGGCTTATAGCGCCTCCTGCCAAGAACTACGTTTCGCGTTCCGATTCCCAAATACTCTCGTACCTGAGTGCCTGCTGGCCATTGAGCCTTGCATCTGTGGAGAGGCTCGCGGAATGCCCCTAATGCGGTAAAGCTGCAGACTAAGAAGATGCAATTGACGTAAATGGCGCCAGGCAGACGGGAACCACGGATATACTCCGGGCATATGAGACATTGACCGGCTGAAAGCTTGATTACCTTATTTTTTAGACTCTTCCCTGCGAAGGAGCCAAATCCAATGTGATCAGTGATTAACAACTGGAACCATCTGCTACCTTTGTTTGTTAAGGAGGATATTAGATAAAACCTAAAATTAGTTATAATTAAGTTCTATCTTAACTTTAAGCTTACTAATAATATCTGCTAGATATTTATTAAAAGTTATATTATAAGGTTTATCAAGCTTTACTTAATACTAAGAAAATAAGAAGTTATTAATACTTACCTTATAAAATTGGTAAATAGTATCCTTAATCTCTAGGATAACGTTATTAGTATATCTAAATAAAGAGTACTATAAAAGAAATATTAAGAAGACCTTATACATTCTACTTAGAAGCTTATATATTATAAGAAGGATAAATTTATAAATAAACTAGTAAGTAGGATCTAGAAGGTTAATACCTGTCTTTTATGACCCTCTATTTAGTACATTTAGCTAACTATAAATAAAGTAGTAGATAGAGGGAGGCCTAATAAGTAAGTATAAACTTAAATAGTATTAGATGTAAGGGGCTGGCCCCTAGGCTCAAAGCCGGAGATATCAATCCGGGCTCTAGCCCGTGACATTACCCCCCCGCTCCCCTCCGGCGGCGTGCCCGCGGCCCTAAGGCTGGGTCTCCATCATGCTCCATCGCGGAGCTATAACGGCGTTCATAAGCCTCCAATGCTTCTGTCCCCTGGAGCGTCTCAATAGGCTCCCAGGTCCTCTCTGCGTATCCTTCCCACTTAACCAGAACTTCGCGGCGTCGCCCGCGCCCTCGACGCTTCCAGGTAGCGGCGTCGATACTCTCTATATTCCAGGTCTCCTCGCCTTCGTCATCTATAATTGGTGGCGGCTGCTCGTCATCTAGCGTTTGCCCAGGTAAAGGGTTGTTACCTGCACGCTTCAGGGTATCCACGTGGAAGCGTGGGTATATAGCCGTTAGCATGTTAAGCTCTACCACGTATGGTGAGATAACCTTCGTAACGGTATACTTATAGTGCAACCAATCTAGTTTCTTGTATGGCCTAGGGGACCTGTAGTGGCCTATGTGAAGCCAGACTTTGTCGCCTGCTTCTAGTCTCTCCGTAGGCTGGCGCTTCCTATTAGCCAGCTCCTCATAGCGTTGCTGCGTTGAGGCAAGGGTCGACCGTGCCATATCCATCACGTCCTGGAGCCTTGTTACCAACTTGCATGCCAGGTCCTCACGAGGGCCCTCATGGTCTTCTGGGTCTGCCTCTTGAACCCAGACAGGCTCTAGGTGGTATCCATGTTCTAAGAAGAAGCTGCTTATGCCTATAGCGCTGCTATCGCGGCTGCAAAGCGCTAGTTAGGCTGCTGGGAGGTTATTCGCCTAATCCTTCTGCGAGTAGGTAATATAATTGCGTAGGTAGGCCTAGATCTCTTGGTTCATCCTTTCTAGGCCGCCATCAGTCTGTGGGTGATAGGCAGTACTAAGCTGCTGTTCTATTCCTAAAAGCTTGCAGAATTGCCGCCAGAAGCGGCTCGTCCAGTTGCTTCCTCTGTCGCTCACAATTGAAGTAGGGACGCCGTGGAAGCGGAAGTGGCAGCTTAGGAATCGTTCAGCGCAGGCTTCAGCTTCCATACTTTCCATAGCTTTAAGGGTTACACCTTTTCCTAGCCGGTCGATAATTACCCAAAGGTATCCCTCACCCTTATCCGTAAGGGGAAGGTTGGTAATGAAATCCATAGCGAGGTCGCTTCGTATACGCTGCGGTATTAGTAGAGGTTTCAGAAGTCCTTTTCGATGCTCTCTCTAGATGTGGCTTTGCCTGCAGCTATCGCAATTGCAGCAGAAGCGTCATACTAGCTGTGACTAGCCAGGCTAGTAGAAGCGCCTACTGACTAACGTGAGGGTATTATCTCTACCAGGGTGTCCACTAAGTACTAAGTTGTAGCTGCTTTGAACGATATAAGTATGTAGTGTGTTCGCCTCGCTATCTAGGTCTTCACTACCTAGTACCTAGATCTAGTCTCTGAATAGTAGTTAGTTACTATTATCGATCTCACACTCAGCAATCTGGACCTTTAGCTTGAGGCTAGGAGGGAAGCTTCTTTCTTGTTGTTTCACAGCATTATATGCCTGCTGGTAGACTTAGTCTTGCCCTTAGGTCTGGTCCCAGAGTTGCTGTAGTTCCTTATCGTTAGTGAACATAAGCACTAATAGGGCTGCCTCTACGCGTTGTGTACGCGTTGAGGTAAGGGCTACTTCGGGAAGAAGCTGGAGAATCCAGCCTTGTTTGCGCTCATCCTCTAGAGACGTAGGTATGTCTTATTTGCGTCTAGAGAGTGCGTCTAGCACTACTGCTTCACTTCCTGGCTGGTACTATATCTCAAAGTTGTACTGAGATAGTTCCTCTGCCTATCGGCTTTGCCGTTCTGTAAGCTTCTGCTTCGTCATAAAGTACTTTAGGTTCTTATGGTCTGATAGGATCCTAAAGTGGCCGACACTCTGTAGCTCTGCTCTCTATTCTTGTAGGCAGCTCATAATAGCTAGCATCTCCTTATTATGTATCGGATAGTTGAACTGGGCAGCGTTAAGCCGCTGCGAGTGGTATGCTACTGCATGACGTCTTCTGTGCTCATCTTCTTGTGACAGTACTCCTCTAAGGGCGAAGCCTGAGCAGTCAGCCTCAACGTAGGTTGTACGCTTAGGGTTGAGTTGGTGTAGAACAGGCTTAGCTGCAAAGATCCTCTTAAGCTCCTGGAACGCTGCTTCTTGTTCCTTACCCCAGCAGAAGAGGACACCCTTCTTTGTAAGAGCTATTAGGGGTCCAGCGATCTCTGAGTACGCTGGGATAAAGATTCGGTAGTAGTTTGCAAATCCTAGGAAGCTTCGGACTCCCTTAACCGTCCTTGGCGCAGCCTATTCCTTAATTGCTTTCAGTTTCTCAGGGTCGCAAGAGATACCTACACCTGCAGTGATGATAAACCCTAGGTACTTGACTGTCTTAACAGAGAACGCGCACTTATGGGGGTCTAGATGTAACCCCGCAGCGGCAAGCTTACGTAGTACTAGCTTAACCTTTGCTTCATGGTCTTGCCTTAAGCTATTTGAGTAGATCAGGACGTTATCTGTATATGCTGTCGCAAAGTCGTCTAGGTACTCCCGAAGTACGCTATTGATATATCGCTGAAACGTAGCAGGGGCTCCTGTGAGCCCAAAGGGAACGATAAGCCACTCAAATAGCCTATATCTTGTTCGGAAGGCTGTCTTATACTCCTCTCCCTCTGCGATTTGGATCTTATGGAACGCTGCTACTACGTCTAGCTTAGTGAACCACTTAGCAGCGCTGACAGTCTGTAGCGTCTCTCGAATCAAAGGAAGAGGGTATCAGTCGCGCCTTATAAGTTCGTTAAGGGCGCGGTAGTCAACATAAAAACGTATCCCTCCACCTGGTTTGCGTACAAACAGTACTATGGCTGATGCTTCTGAGCTACTAGCGCGGATAAAGCCTTTATCTAGTAGGTCTCTCAGGGTCTTATGGAGGATGAGAAGCTCTTCTCATGACATGCTGTAGAGCGGCCCCCATGGTAGTGCAGCCTCGTTGCCGTCGCTCTCCTGTTTGATAGGGATCGTGTGGTCGACTCCAGGGCGATGCGGAGGAAGGTTAGCAGCTTCGTCAGGTTGGAATAGCTCTCAGAACTCAGCTAGTACAGCTAGTGGAAGGAGGGCCTTTAGGTCTGCCTTCTCAGTCTTCCTCGTAAGAGCCTTCTGTATATCTGCTAAGCTGATCGCTCGAACTTTATATCCTGCAGTTCCTTTGGTTCGTTATTATGCCCTCCTATAGAGCGTTGCAAAAGGGGCTCCTGGGAGGAGGCGGGCAGCCCTGATCTAGCGCACTCGCTCTGGCTCTTCCTCGCCTTTCAGACGTAAGTCTACACCACCCCTCCTATGCTGTATACGCTGGGCAGCAGCATCATATAATATATGGTTCCTCTCCATCCAGGGTTTCCCTAAGAACAGGTTGTCGCTAAGGCTATATATAGTATACGCAAAGATCTTCTCATCATAACCGCACAGCTTGAGGTTAAAGATAACTACGCCTGTTGCTTTCGTAGCGCCTGTAATGTCGCTGAAGCTGCCTAGTACCCGCTCGGAGCGATCTACTATTAGCAGGCGGAGCTTACGGGCAAGGTTGTGGTCGATAAGGGCGTATAGGTCGCACCTAGTATCTACTAAGGCGTCTGCTTGAGTGCCTTTATATATGCAGGTAGTGATCACTGCTGACTTGCTGCTCATATGATGCTTAAACTGCTTCTATTCTGTGATATCACTAGGCTTTGCCTCTAACGCCCAACTTTGCGTTAGAGTTACTCTTTTCCCGAGCTTTCTTCAGCCTCAGAACTTCCTAGCTCCTCTGTAGCACTATCATTACTGCTTCCTTCAGGCTTAGGGTCCTTCTTGACCTTTTTAACCTTCTTAGCCTTCGTAGGGCTGAGAGGCTTCCGCCTAGGGCACCATATAGCGATATGGCCGATCTGGTTACAGTTGTAACAATAGCGACTGTCCTTCTTTGGTTGTTGCAGGTCTTCAGATGAGGAGGAGCTGCTACGTTGGCGACGTAGCCTTGCCCTCTCCTTGCCCTTAGCGCGGCTAACGCCAGATATCGCCATATCTCCGTCTGCGTCTTATTAGCCAGGTTGTGGTGCTTTCGAATAAGGTGGGGTACCCTTATGCGCCTGCTGAGGTAGGCTTTCAAGCTTAATAGCGAAATCCTGAACTTTGAGAAGCCATCTGTGGTAGTCATCCTTAGGAAGTTCAATATAGATCAGACCCCTCTTAAGACGAGTACTAAGGGCCCCTTCAAGGAAGGCTATCTTAGCTTTATCTGCCTAGTCGGCGCCACCAGCCTCAGCTAGTGTTCGCTCAAACTGGGGTAGAAAGGAGGATAGAGACTGATCGTCTCGCTGGCGAAGGGTTCGTAGCATGGTTGCTGCCTATAGATCTATATTTAGGTCCTTATACGTCTGGTCAAGGTACTTCAGGAATTCAACAGAGTCCTTCTGCCCACCTGGACCTCCTGCTGCGTAGAAGGTAGCTACAACCTGCTGTGGCCTGCTATCAAGGCAGGAGTTGATGAAGTACCAGATATCAGCATTACTGCTAATATACCTTGCATCTAGCTCTATCTTGTTGTGCATCTGCTAGGCCTATGCTGCGTAGTCCTTACGCCTTCCCGTGAACTTCGGGGGGTTTAGCAGGGGCTTCTTTCGCCCTTCCGTTGCCATTATTATACCGTCGCTTATTGCCTATATAGTTATATCGGCGGTGGACAGTGTAGGTACGCTGCTCGTAAGCGGCGTAGGGGTCGCTCTATCTGTTGACATAAGCCCGTTCAGAGCTGTCAAGAGCTGCATCATCTGGTCCTGAAGAGGACGTATGCTTGCGTTGACTGCTTCGTTAACCCTGCGGTTAATCTCTGCAGTCATCGCGTCGTTTGCGCTACCCTCAGGCGAATCCATTATGTCGCACTCGTGAGGTTTCGTATAGCGTCTTCTCGTTGCGCTACCCTCTAGCGAATCAGTCGTATCGCTCTCGTGAGGTTTCGTATAGCGTCTTTTGTTGTTGAGCTGAGAATATGTAAGGGGCTGGCCCCTAGGCTTGTTCAACGTAGAGGTGCCGTCGATTGACTATTCTCAGCTGAAGAAGGAAGAAAGGACTTTACAAGAGTAGGCACCTAACAGCGGTGAAGCAGACCGGGTTAGGCGGTGTAACGCGGCAGAGTAGTGGGTCCAACGGAGCCGGATCTCGGTAATTGCTCCGGCAAAGCCGGAGATATCAATCCGGGCTCTAGCCCGTGACATTAGATATTTATTAAGATAGAAGTAATAATTAATAATATATTAATATTTATTAATACCTTATAGACTTATATAAGTAATATTCCCTATAATATTACTCCTTATCTTACAGTTTATATTACTATTCTTTTAGATAGTTTTAGAAGCTTGAGGCTTAAAACTTTAATGAACTTTAGGTATTATAATATTAGGATAGCTATGATTAAGGATCTAGAAAATTATAATTCAATAGCTCTAATAGCTCTAATAGCTATAATTAATATAGAATAGAATAAGTAATAGATTAATAAAATATAAACTTCTTAAGATAATGTATAAATATTGATATACTTATTATATATAATAACTAACCTTTAAACTTAAAATCTTTTTTATTATTATCTCTATATCTTGTAAAAAGGTTTATATCCTTCACGCTCTCATTTCCTATATACTGTTTAATAATACCTTTAATCTTAAGTTTAACTAATTTAAAAGCTTATTTAGATAGCTTAACCTAGAGGATATAGACTATACTAAGTTATATTAGAAGGAGGAGATTCTAGATAAGCTAATTATTCTAATATAGTATAATCATTTTGAGAAGATCTAATAGTATATACTTTTTATAGTAAGCTATTCAGAACGCCTCTAGCTATATATAATATAACTTAGTACTAATAGTTAATTAAATAGTAAGACTACTTATATCCTACTAATAAAGTATTTATAGTTAAGTTACTTATAGATATTAGGACCTCTTACTCTAGCTTTAAGAAACTATATCCAATTAAATATATCTTAGGTATATAAGAAAAGCTACTAGCTTAAATGTATTAAAGAGAGTCTTATTTATATAGTTTATAGTAACCTAATAGGCTAAAGCAATATACTTAATATAATATTATATAATATAATATTTACATAAGATAATAAAGCATTATTATATCCAATAGACTAAAACCTAAAACTATTTAAAAAATAGAATAATAATATACTCACATAATAAGTCAGCTAACATAGTAAGTCAGCCACTTTTCCTACTTTCTACCTCTTTAACCTTTACACTAACTTTCCTCTACGTATAAATATGCAATCCACCCTAATTAAAAGTTATATTATCCTTACCCTCTAGGCTATTAAAAAAGACCTAAAAATGTCTGTATGAAAAGCAGCCCAAACCTTTAAGGTCCCTTAAATAACACTCTAAGACTGACGCACTAGATATATTGCATAACCTAAAAGACGACTAAATTTAATAAAGATAACTATAACAGAAGAGGAGGTGATTCTTAAATGAGTTATTAACCTAATTGATTGAGGGTTTCCTCTGCGATAAGAAGATATATATTACGGTCAGCTATCCGACAGTAGGGTCTGCTAACAGAAGCTGGGGATTGATACGTTCTAATATTACACTAGGTCGTGGTTGTAGGTCGTAGTTCGTAGGCTGTAGTAGATCGGGTCTTCAGAGGCCAAGGTGATTAGTCTTAGACTTAATAAGTGATTTGCAGTGAAGGTAAGCTGAGAGTATCCATGAGGATGAATACTAAGTTGATTGCTGAAGAGCTATGAAGTCTGACTATAAGCTAGGCTCAGGTTATACTATATACTAGTCCTAAATAGTATCCTTTGTCTACCTAGGGTTTTCACTTAGTTATATAAGGTGATTACAATTAGTTAGTCTAACTAACTGATCACTAAGTGCTTCCTTGTGCGCTCCACTAGTTATATCTTTATCTTATTATTATGTAACTTATATTATAGTTCTTCTGTTTCTAAGTGATTCCCTGTTATTCCTATATGTTACGACCCGTTATGCATGGATAACAGTTGACCGACCCACTTAGGCGTCAGGCGGCTAGGACAGGACATTTGTACTACAGAATCACGGGAACAACAGGAACTCACTCGGTAACGGAAGAACTATGGTCCAAGTCACGTGATGATAAGATAACGATCATATTGGATCAATATGATCCAACACGACTTGGGGGCTAAACGATCAGTCTGGATCAGAATGATCCAGGTCGACCTAAGGTATAAAGGAACATGTTTAGAATTAGACTTATATATAATGACCCTGAGCCTGGCTTATAGTCAGACTTCTATAGCTCTTCAGCAATCAACTTAGTATTCATCCTCATAGATACTCTCAGCTTACCTTCACTGCGAATCACTTATTAAGTCTAAGACTGATCACCTTAGCCTCTAAAGAACCGATCTACTACAGCCTACGAACTACAACCTACGACCACAACCCAGTATACTGTTAGAACGTATCAATCCCTAGCTTCTGTTAGCAGACCCTACTGTCGGATAGCTGACCGTAACACTTTGATTGCTCCTGTTCAGTAAGTTGACCATTGATTCCTACTAACAGTAACGAACGACAATATCTTCCCGCGCCTCTGTTAAGTCGCCTACCCTGGGATCCTCGTCCACTTCAGGAGGACGAGCCACCTAAAACCTAGCCTAGGAACTAGGAGACCAGAAGATAAAGGACGACTCAGATAGCGAGGACGACACTAAAGAACTTAAGCGCCAGCTTAATAAGACTAATAGCAACTTCAAGGCAATGCGCGAAATGTTCAACCAGAACGCTGCAGCCCTTAGCGAACTCTAGGAATAAGCCTGCAAGAACCAGGATCTGGAGAAAGAAGTCGCCACCCTCTAAGCTGCCGCTAACATCATATCCGCCCCAGTCGAAGGATGAGAACGCCTCAAGCTTAACACGCCTTCCACCTTCAACAGGACCCTAGGACAACTTAAAGGACACCTGGTATAAGTTCAAACCTACCAGGCCTTCCACGTAAACACCTTCCAGAACGACACCGAACGCGTTATGCATGCAGCCACCTTCCTTTAGGGACGAGCCCTTACCTAGTTCGAACCCCTTCAACAGGAATAGCTTGACAACCCTGTCGAAAAATACAGCTAAGAAGTTAAGGACATCTTCTTCAGCTTCACAGGCTATGTTAAGGCCCTAGAATCTCTCTTCCTTAACCCTAATGAACGAAGACAGGCCGAGCGAGACCTATCCCACCTACAACAAACCAAGTCAGCTACGCTCTACGCCGCAGAGTTTAGGCGATTAGCTGCAAGACTCCACATAACTGACGAAAGCAAAGTTTTTACCTTCTACTAAGGACTTAAGGATGATGTTAAAGACGAAATAGCTAAACTAGAGACACCTCCTAGCTTCCTCGCCTACGTCGAACATACTATTAAGGTTAATAACCACCTCGATAAACGACAAAAGGAATAAGGAGAGAAACGACAAAACCTGAATTCAGGACGTAAGTACTAATAGCAGCCTCAACAGAAGTTCAACAGCCAGCAGAACGACAACAGACCCTGCAACAACTGGAATAACACCTGCTAGAGCACTGCCTACAGATAACACAGCAGACCTATAGATCTCAGCATGATAACCAAACCTAACAACAAAAAGCCTTAGAACCCTAAATGCTATAACTGCAACAAGCAAGGCTATATCGCCAAAGACTGCAGACAGCCTAAGAAGCACCCCTGGAGACCAGTGGCAGAACGACCCTGATAAGTTAACATAATCGCAAAAGCCCCACATATATCCCAGTCCTAGACTGGATGTTATGATGAAAACTGCTGAATTCACCTCAAAGATAAAGAAATATCAGGATATTACCTAAGGGACAGCAACCCTAGATGGTCTGGATATAATATAACCATCCTGGACACTCGCCTTAGGACCCTGGCAATAATGCATTCCAGCAACAGCAAAGTTGCTAGAAAACCAGTTGAACAACTTAACGAGATGCTATGAATTCAGCGATTAGAGCTAATCACCATACGCATAACTAGCTAGCAACTCCACTACAAAGAATAACAAATCCAGAAGGAAATAGAGCTAATCCAGCAAGAAGACGACAGATAAGCGCAACTATATCAACAAGCAGAATCTGAAGAAGAACCAGAACATCAATATAACCCCCTGACGGAATAATAACTCCTCAGCATAACCTACAACTAGATCTTCAGAGAAGGAGAAAGCTCACCCTACGACTCAGATGAACCTTATGATGTTACCTGATAACACACTTAAATAGAGATCGCCTATAGGTTCACCCCTAGTGTGGACGACTCCAGCTCTGAAGAAGAACCTGACGACCAGGAAGGAAGAACTAAGCAACTTCTGAGATACTAAGAAATCGATATGCTTCAAGATAAGCAACAACGCCACTTCTATAGCACCTCGGCAGCCTAATGAGACCGAGGCTACACCCCTCAGCTACACACAGAAGATCATCCTGCGCTGAGAAGCAACCACCAGCTTCACTAAACCCTCTTCTGGCCCCAGTGTTTTCACGACAAATACAAGGAATATATAGGAGAAAAGCATAACTATCAGTTCTACCCCAGAAGATATAACGACGAACCTATCCATGAGATTTACTTAACGTCCGTTATAATTAGATGGACTATAGTACTATTTGAAGACAGCCTCGCAGTCTTCAGACCTAGCCCTCAGTTCCCTATAAGATGTCAACATGACAACAGTATGAAATAGAATGAATACTAACGCAAAGAATACTAAGTCTATTACTAAGACAAGGCCTACGCATAGAGAATCATGAAAAACAGACCAAGAACCCCTTAGGTCAAAATCCATAAGAACAGCCTCACCAAGGCAGTATGGGAAGGAAAACGCATCACCTACCTAGGATAACTAGAGCAGTTAAAAAACTAGACTTGCCTACCGACGAAGAACCACGACAGGCAATAAGGAAAAGGTTTATTCACCAGATGTCATAAGGACATAAGGGTAATATCAAACTCAAAGTTACTATCAACTAACAAACGACACTCGCGCTAATTAATAGCAGAGCTGAAGCAAACTTCATTACCCCCCAAGCCATCAATAGGCTAGAAATATAATAGGGAGGAAAAGAACAACTATATCAGTTACACACAGCAGAAGGAGAAGAATTCAAGTATAAAGGAGGTACCATCTATAATGAGACTGCGCCCCTTAAGATGAGCTACCTGAATCGAAAAGAAAGAATCTAATTCGATATTGCCGATCTAGGAATATACAACATAGTGCTAGGACTACCCTGGCTATAAATAAGCAACCCATAGATAGATTAGAGCAAAGGCTAACTCTATTAGGACCATAATAATTCAGTCCCTGAGCAGCCCTGTTGGAACCAGGCCTCAAATAAATCAATACGACAAGGAACAGCAAAACGATACCTCTGTTACCTCAAGGCAAAAGAAGCCGTATTATAACCACTGATAACAACAGATCTTAAACAGAAAAACGATCCACTTCTGTCTATCCTAGAAGAATATAGAGTTTACGAGAAACTCTTCGCAGCCGAATTAGAAACCAGACTGCCTGAACACACCAGTTTCAACCACGAAATACCCCTCAAAAAAGGGAAGGAACCACGCTTCAACAAAATCTACAGACTTAACCAGATAGAGATGGAAGCCTTAGATAGATACCTTGAAGAAAACCTTAAGAAGGGATACATCAGACCCTCAACGTCACCAGCAGGAAGCCTAATCCTATTCGTACCCAAAAAGAACGGAAAACTATAATTATGCGTTAACTACTGCATGCTTAACGAAATAACGATCAAGAACTGCTACCTACTACCGCTCATCAACAAAATGAGACGACTCCTCTATAGAGCCAACTGGTTCACAGCCCTCAACCTCAAAGGAGCCTATAACCTAATCAGAATAAAGCAAGGAGAAGAATAGAAGACCGCTTTCAGAACCTAAAAAGGATATTTTGAGTACCTCATCATGCCCTTCAGCCTTACTAACGCCCCTGCAACATTCCAAAATATGATCAACTAAGTCTTATGCAAATACGTCGACATCTGCATAGTAGTCTATCTTAATAATATCCTCATCTTCTCATCAACACTTAAGAAACATAAGGAGGATATACACCACGTCTTATAAGCCCTCTAAGAAGCTAAGCTATTAGTTAAACCTGAGAAAAGCGAATTCCACACACAGAGGGTGGAATACCTCGGATTCACTATCACCCCTAGAAAAGTCTGCATATCTGAAAACAAAGTTAAAGCTATTAAGGAATAGCTGGTACCTAATAACCTCAAGGAAGTCTAAGGATTTCTAGGTTTTGTTAACTTCTACTGCAAATTTATCAAAGACTATAGCAAGATTAACGCAGCTCTCATAAGCCTCAGCCGCGAAGACGCACCCTTTATATAGGAAGAACCACAACAAACAGCATTCCAGAAGATCAAGGACCTTATCGCCAGCAAGCCTATCCCAATTATTCCAGATCCAACAAAGCAATTCGAAGTAGAACCAGACGTATCAAAATACGCAATAGGAGCGCAACTATCTTAATAAGATTCAGAAGGATAACTACACCTATACGCCTTCTTCTCTCGCAAGCTCTATAGACCTGAACTTAACTATCAGATCCACGATAAGGAACTTATAGCAATCATCGAAGCCTTTAAGGAATAGAGACCTAAGCTCTCAGGAACCATATATGAAGTACTTATATATTCAGACCATAGGAACCTTTCATACTTCACAACTTCGAAAGTGTTAAACAAACAACAGATTAGATGGTTAGAATTCTTATCAGAATTCAACTTCTAAATTATCCACTGCAAAGGATCAGATAATAGCAGAGCTGACGCTCTTAGCTGACGACCAGACTATAACGTCCTAGTACCTAAAGAAACCTAAGTGATTCTCAAAGGAAATAATAATAGAGACCTAATGCTAGTAACTAAACTCTTGATAATAGCTGGACGATCTAGTACTAGCCCGCCTAGCGAACTAGACGACGAAGCAATTATAGAGTTTTATGCTCGCCCTGCACACAGTCACTAAGGAATCATAAAAACCTAGAAATAACTATGATAATAATATAGAGAAAAGGTTACTAGAGAATAAGTGGCAAAAGCAATTGAGGATTATGAGGTCTGCCTTAAAAGCAAACCTGCTTAATATCAACCTTATAGTATGCTATAACCTTTGCCTATGCTGCAAACCGCCTAGCAATCTATATCACTTAACTCTATCGTCAAACTACTAAAGTCTTAAGAACCCTTTATAGGAGTACACTTTGATAGCGTTCTCATTATTATGGACTGACTTATAAAGTACGCCTACTTCATCCTATATAAGGAATCAAGCAACGCTGAAAAATATGCCTATATATTTCTCAAATATATTATTGCTAATCACAGAACACCTAAGGAAATTATATTAGATAGAGATAAGATCTTCACTTCTAAATTCTAGAAGTTAACTATATCATAACTTAGTATTAAGCAAGTAATATCTACTGCGTTTCACCTGCAAACTGACAGATAAACAGAACAAATTAACTATATCCTCGAAATATATCTCCACACCTATGTTAGTTATAACTAAGATAATTAGGTTGTATTGCTACTAATAGCCTAGTTCGCCTATAACAGCATAGTAGGAGAAAGTACCAAGGAATCCCCCTTCTATCTCAATTACGGATTTAAACCAACCGCCTATAGAAACATGCAACCAGGCCTAGCTGCAGTTAAAGCTGTCACCTCAGTATGATAAATCAAGGATATGTAAGATAACGCATGCAAAGAACTCAAATTTATATAATAATGAATAGCATAGTTCAGCAACTAACAAAGGATTGAGGGACAAACCTTAAAAGAGGGAGATAGCGCCTATCTTATATAGCAAAATATTAAGATAAAGCGACTAAACGACAAACTTAACTATAAAAAACTCAGACCTTTCAAAATTTCATAAGTAATCTCACTAGTTAACTATAAACTCACACTCCTAGCAACTATAAAGTGTCACCTAGTATTCTACGTCTCACTCCTCAAACTAGCATTATGTGGATTATAGATAAACGATATTATTATTATAGAAGATAATAAACCAGAGTATAAAGTTAAATAAATTATTAACTATCTTAAGGAACCAGAAGGATACTGATACCTTATTAAATAGAAAGGATATAGACATAAGGATAATATATAGGAACCAGCTAAAAACATCACTAAAGCAGCAGAAAAACTTATAATCTACTGGCAATAACACTAAGAATGAGAAGCTATATTAGCACCTACTATATTAGTCCAGAAGAATGCTAGATATAAATAAATCAGACACCTATATCGCTTCACCAGACCACCTACTGAAGCAGATCGACTGCGATAAGGAAAACTGTTTATCCGCCTAGGAACACCTGAAGCTAGTTAAGAAACCTCAGAAGAACCTACGTTCAGAGGAATGCCTAAATCAACCACCCTAGTACCTAGAGAAGACCAATCCGACTTATTCTGAGTACCCCACAGCGATAATGTTACGGTCAGCTATCCGACAGTAGGGTCTGCTAACAGAAGCTGGGGATTGATACGTTCTAACAGTACACTGGGTCGTGTTCGTAGGTCGTAGTTCGTAGGCTGTAGTAGATCGGGTCTTCAGAGGCCAAGGTGATCAGTCTTAGACTCAACAAGTGATTCGCAGTGAAGGTAAGCTGAGAGTATCCGTGAGGATGAATACTAAGTTGATTGCTGAAGAGCTATGGAAGTCTGACCATGAGCCAGGCTCAGGGTTATTATATACAAGTCTAATTCTGAACATGTTCCTTTGTACCTTAGGTCGATCTGGATCATTCCGATCCAGAATGATCGTTTGGCCCCCAAGTCGTGTTGGATCATATTGATCCAATATGATCGTTATCTTATCATCACGTGACTTGGACCATAGTTCTTCCGTTACCGAGTGAGTTCCTGTTGTTCCCGTGATCCTGCAGTACAAATGTCCTGTCCTAGCCGCCCGACGCCCAAGTGGGTCGGTCAACTGCTATCCATGCATAACGGGTCGTAACAGATAAATCCTCTATCACCTGGGACTCCTGAGTTTCTAGAGTATGTTCCTCAGCCTCCTACTTATCCACAGACTGTATTCCCCAATAAATCAGATCTAAACCACGCTTCTTTAAAAACCTTTTCTATCTCTAAAGATAAGATGAACAACCTAAAGCGGCAGCAAGCTGAGCCTGCAACACCTCTAACGCCTCCTCAGCCTCTTCCTCCTCCTGCTCCACTTTCTTTTGCTTATTGAAATAACAATTCACTACTGCGATAAATCAGCAACACTAGGAAACACTAAGGTGCCAAGGTATTTATAAGTATTCGCCACGTCACCACCATCATAGTTTGAGAAACCCTGCTTCACACACTCGCTGTAACGCTTCAAGTTAGCAAGGTCTATTTTGCACACTTAATTATGCTGAAAATAAGCGGAAAAAGGTATTACGTCGTAACTATGGTGATCGACCAGAGCACTGAGAGCCTTACAGTTGCGCTGAATCTGAGTATGATAAGTCTCGCGAGAATCTGATTTCTGAACGTAGCCTGACATAGTGTTAGCATCATGGATAAATCAGGAAACATAATTGATAGGACCTCAACCTAGGACTAACGACCTTAAACACGGCCGTTTTGGAAGCAAAGCTGCTGTTAGTTCCGACTTGGATAAGGTTATGCGACAAACGGTGGAAGGAATGCTCTTGGAGAGGGTGGCCGTCGAGTGGCGGTGCATCGTGTCATGGCCTCCGGATTGGACATGAAGGAAGCGTTTCCATCTACTTGCTAACACGACGCCGTTGCGCTCCAGACTCCAGTCAAACTTCACCATCGGAAGCCATGACTTCTTACGCGTCGACTGAGCTGTATACCATTGCTGCATTTGACGATAACCTGCTTTACATTACTGCTTCGACATCTGAGATTGCAACGGAACGATATGCCCTACCACAAAAAATAAATCAGAGGCAAAAAAGGAAAGGAAGCATGAAAAAGCAAGAGTTAGAAAGAACCCTATGTCACCTGCAAAAGTATACCCCCTCTCATGTTGAGGCTCCTGCCCCCTCAAACAAACTCCGAGAGCCACGCTTTCAGCTCGCCAATATTCTCACACTCGAGAAACAGGGAGCTCTTGACCTCCAGCTGCAATTCCGTCCGGAACTTTTCCGACAAGACTAAAGACATCAGAGAGTCAATGCCGAGTTCGACAAAGGATGACTCGGGTGTCAATCTCGACACTTCGAGCCCCGTCTCCCTCGCAATCAGGTTCAAGCATCGACCCACGGCTGAGTTATCGGGCGTCTCGGCCGCAGCCGCGACCGGCACTGACGGAAGAGTTGGCGATAACGGCGAGATCTTCTCCGACAGCGACGTTTGAGTCTTGATTTGAATGGCTGGAAGGTGTCCATGGGCCACAATGTCTTTCTTGACCGTCTCTTCGCCCGCAATTTGACGCGTCGTCTCTGTCTTCGCACCCAGACTGCCGTCTGCTTTGGAGCCGCCAGAGGGCGAGAAGAAGCGTCCCATCAGCAATCTTGGCACCCTTCGGAACTTCATCTCGCCCATCATGCCCACGATCTCGCCATTCTGGAGCACGTAGACGTCTCCGGCGTACATGTTGGGCTCCGCGGGGAAGGGGCTCATGCGCACATACGTCCGGTACCGCGCCCCGGGCTCGAAGCGGCGCAGCATCCGGCAGTCGCCCCATCCCGGGGTCACGTAGAAGAAGTCGCGCGTGTTGGACGCGTCGCTGCCGTTGAGCACGAACCCGCCAATGTGGAAGACGCCGTCGATCCAGTGCGGCGGCGAGTGCCACGAGCCGTGCGTCTCCGGCAGCAGGGTCACGTCGGCGAAGGCCTCGTGGCCCTCCAGCACAACCGACCTCATGCCGCGGTACTTGTCCGAGTAGTCGACCACGTTGCGGAATAGCTCGTAGGCCATGCTGCGGGATAGCCTGTTTGCGGAAGGCTCCTCGTCCGAGGCCGCACGTCGCGCAAGGTCTTCTATGCGCCCCTTGACGAGGTGTGCCACGCGGTCCCACTCGCGCTTCCACGCTGCCGGGTCCTCGTATCTGATGGTGGCCGAGGCGAATGCTTCCTCGACTGGAACTCCACTCTCCGCATCCACATTGTGAAGACGCATCATGGTTGTTCGTTCGGCCAGGTTTGCCTCGGCGCGAATTTGGATCAGTTGCGATTTGCTAGAGTCTTCATTGGCCACCTGCGCGTGGAGGACCTCCATCTGAGAGATGTTCATGGGTATCTCTGCCAGAGAGTCCGGCTTGAGGAGGCGGTGGAGGTGCTCGCCTACAGTCAGGGCCATGTCTGCCCAAATGGACTGCGTTCACGGGTCAGTTACTGCGAAATTTGGACTACAGAGAGATAAAGGATAATACTCACCGAGGTTGCGACACCGTGGCCATTCATCTGATGACCGTGGACTGCGGCTAGCAGCGAAGGGTGTTGGATATCCGACACCGCCGTCAGCCGCGCTCGGTGGGAGTCGGTGACTTCCTCAGAGATGACTTGCTGCACCGAAGACGTCCTGAGAGACGAAGTCGAAGTCGTCGGCAGGCCTGCGCTTCTGGACGGCTTCTTGTCGGACGGGTACGCCTTGTCGAGCGTCCAAGTTCCTTCATACTGGATCCAGTAGTTCTTCTCGTTCCAGCGATAAGCCGGCAGATTCAAGAGTTTGTGAGCACGCTCGTACGGCCTGAAGTACTCATTCCACTCGACCGGGACCCCATGGCTGTGCAAGGCAGCCATTGCCCCAGAAAAGGTTGTGAAATCGTCTTCGCCACGACGCAGGGAGGGAACCACCCGGGCATTTGACGACAGCGCGTTGCGAATGAAGCCGGTGCATATGGGGTGCGGTCCCACGTCAACCCAGATCGTTCCCTCATCGACGATGCCCATGTCACGCGCGGCCTCTAAGGCGCCGACAAAGTTGACCGGCTCCCGCGACGCCCTTCTCAAGTACGTCGCGTTGATGGTCTTCCCATCGAAGACGACGTCGCCAAGAAGCGGCGAAAGGATCGGAACGCGAGGGGTCTTGAAGGTGATGTGGCGGGCGGTTTCCTCGTAAACCGACAGCATGGGATCCAGCTGAGCCGTGTGAAAGGCGTAGGGGACATCTAGAAGCAGACACTTCAGTCCTTGGGACTCCAGACTAGTTCTCGCATCGTCAATGTCGGCGCGTTTTCCACTGATGACGGTGTCGCGGGGTCCATTGACACACGATACCTCGAACTGATAGGCGCCATTCTCGCCCGCCTGGCGCAAGGAGTCTTTGATGTCTTCGATGCTGCCGCGGACAGACAGCATGACGTGGCTGCCAGAAGCGCAGGTCTTCTCCACAAGCTGAGCGCGACGGCCAACGAGGAAGATGGCATCGGCTGCCGAGAGGACGCCGGCGGCGACAAAGGCGGCGTACTCGCCTAAGCTATGGCCAATGACGGCGCTGGGCACGACTCCCATGAACTCCCAGAAGCGTGACAGGGCTATTTCAACCACGAGAGTGGACAGCTGCGTTTCCAGCGTCGACGGGTTGGAGGCCTGTCCCGCAGAGTTCTTTTCTCCACCAGCAATGTGAGGCACGACAGGGGGAAAGCCCAGTCGGCGCACGAGCTCATCGAGCTGTAGAATCTCCTCGCGGTAGAATGGAAAGTGCTGAAAGAGCTGGGCGCTGATGCCTTCGTAGTAGGCCCCCTGGCCAGTGAAAGCGAAGGCCACCGAGGGAGGAGTCGTTGGTGCAGGACGGAGATCCCCAACCGTCTCCCGCGCAGACGTCAGTAGACGGTGGAGGTCGTCGACACTGCTTGCACTCACAGCAATGCGAGTGTGGTGGTGGATACGCCTGGCACACAACGTGTAGGAGAGGTCTCCCAGTTGAGTACTGGGGTTGTCTTGGAGGTAGCGAAGCAGAGCGTCGATGTTGCTGCGCAAGGAGGGCTTGCTCTTAGCGGACAAAGCCATGACGTGGGTCGACCGAGGGTCAACGTCCTCGAGGCCACGTTCTCGGGCGGGAGCGTCCTCGAGAAGGATTGTAGTATTGCCGCCGTGAGCACCGAAGCTGTTTACCAAGACATAGCGTTTGCGGCCTGCTGGTCCCTCGACTTGACGTGGCCAAGGTGTGGTTTCCAGTACGAGTCCAGCGTTGCGCTGGTCGAGATTCCGTGCGACTACCGGGTTCAACTCGGTGACGATGCCGACGTGCGGCGGGATCTTCTCCTTCTGGAAAACCAGAAGAACCTTCATCAGCGACGCAATTCCAGCGGCCGCTTCGCCGTGGCCGATGTTGGATTTAACAGCGCCGAGGTGGAGACGCTGGTCCGGCCGACGGCGCGGAGAAAGTGGAGCGAACACGCCGGCCACGGACTCGGACTCGACGGCGTCGCCGCTCTGGGTGCCCGTGCCGTGGAGCTCGACGTAGCTGACATCTAGCGGGTCGACACCGGCGGCGTTCATGACCTGGCGGTAGTTATCCATCTGAGCTCCCGCGTGAGGGTGGGTGATGGATATGGCCTCGGCGGAGTGGTTCGTCGCACCGGCGGCGACGACGGCTAGGATGTTATCATTGTCCGCCTCCGCATCCTCGAGTCGCTTGATCACGACTGACCCGACGCCGTCCGCACGGCAGTAGCCGTCCGCGCTCTTGTCCCAGACCTTGCACTGGCCGGTTTTGGACAGGAAGAAACCCCTGCAGAGCATGCAGTAGTTGTCTGGGTTGGTGATGACGCTCAAACCGCCCGCAAGAACTGTGTCGGCCTCGCCGGCCCACAGAGCCGAACACGCGGCTTGGACGGCAGCAAGACCGCTTGAGCAGGCGGTGTCGATGTTGAAGCTGGGGCCGCCGAACTTGAAGAAGTAGTTGATCCGTCCATTGGCAAATGCGCGCTCGCCCCCGGGAACGGCGTAAGTCCCAATGTTCTGACCGGCGTTGAGCTCGCGCCAGTCATCGCTGGCTTGGCCGTAGAAAGTGCCGACACGCTTGAGGGCGGTCGAGGGCGTACGGTTCGGTGAGTACCCTGCCATCTCGAGAGCCTCGTAGGCCGTGACGAGGGCAAGGCGGTGCATAGGATCTGTCTGCTCGGCCTGTGCGAATGTCAGTCGTTCGGGAAGCCAAACCGTGTCAATCTAGGTGAAAAATGTCCGGCCTTTGCTTACCTCGCGGGGCGACATGTTGAAGAATCCAGCGTCGAAGAAACCTGGCCGATCGATGAAGTTTCCAAAGGGTGTCTGCGTGGCGTTTGGGGTTTGGCCAGAGGCATCGAGATGAGTAGAAAGATCGAAACGATCCGGCGGCACCTCCGTATGCACGTCGCGGCCGTCCACCATGAGATCCCAGAACAGCTCGGTGTCATTGGCACCACCAGGCAGACGGCATGACATGCCGACAATGGCCAGCTTGGACTGCTTGGGACTTGCAGGCTGCAATACGAGGGGTTCTTTTGCTGACCACTGACCAACGTCCTGGTGCACCAGAGTCAGGTGTGAACTCGTGGACTGGATGGCGGCAACCAGCTGCTCAGATACTATGGTTTTTCCTAGCTGGAGAAGGTCACAGCGTGTCGCCATCGAGAGAGCTTCGCAAATGCCGGTTTCCAAGTTGCCGAGGAAGATGGTGCCAGTCAGGATCTCGGATACGACAGCGGCGTATAGCTCGCCAGCAGTGGCCGCCTCGAAAGGCGAGCCGTGCATTGGCGACAGAAGTGGAAGTCGAACTGGACGTGACAACTCGCGGGAAGCACTCAGTATGGCCTTTGTGTCTTTTGGTCCATAAATGTGAGGCGCGTGACAAAGACCACCATACACCGGAAGGGCGTAATGGCGTGAATAGCGAAGGACGTTGGAGAAGAGGAAAGCATTCTTGAGTCGAGACGGGGGTCCGGTGACGCTGACAGATTTCTTGTCGGCCGCGCTGATGAAAACCTTGGTGACATCGGAACCGCCCTAGCAATGCGACTGGTCAGCCTTCCAATACTCAAGCGTTGAGGAAAGTGGATGGGTTGGTACCGTGGTGTTGTTGAAAAGATCCAGTTCCTTCTGCACATCCTCGACCGCGATGCCCGCCACGACATAGGCCCAACTGCTTTTGCCGCCCTCCACATGTTGGGGCTCCAGTGATTGCGAGACGTGATCCACGTGAATGCCCAGCCGGAAAGCGATTCTCACACTTTCGGTTCCAGCAAGAGACAGCTCAGCGAGCGAGGACGTAGATGACACAGCAGCGGCTGATATCAGACCGATACTGAGGCCCGCCAGAGTGGCGCTTCCGTGTTGGAATAGATGGTTTAGTCCTTGCTCTTCACAGTGCCTGGATGCGATCGAGTGTCAACAAACAGCTTTCATGCGAGCTCTGTCAATAGTTATGGGAGTTATTATTAGATGCTCACCCGATGATCATGCCAATCTGCAGGACGCAGAGCAAGGCCCCCTCGAGCGCTCCGCCAAGCGGTCCATCGCGGTAGTCGTCGAGATTGCCCGCGAGCCCGAGAACATTATGGAACTGCGGCAGAAGAACTCTGGAAGAAGGATGCAGCTCGGCCACCTCTGCCTTCAGTACCTCGGTGCATTCGGACAAGAACCGTGACAAGAAGTGGAATTTGCGGTCTTTGGCGCGCCTGTGTATTGCGGCAAGCTTTGTTTCGATACCATCTTTGGGCAGTTCGTTACTGCAGAAAAGGAGTGTTGTTGATAGTTCTGAGACTAGAGATCCAGTTGTCGACGTTGCATCGGATGAAAGGTTGGTCATTGTTGGTAGAGTTTCGTCCCTTGAATCGGATAATGTGTGTATGCGGCAATGAGGTGATATGGGGATAATTACACTTGAAATATTCGAGTTTTGGGCTGCAGTTATATGTCACTGACTCAATGCGAGAGGATTCAGAACACCTTTCTGCTGGATGTATCACCACGTGAAATATTACTCATTTGGATAACACGCGTATCAGCCAACCATAGGCTTCCAGCACTCGATAAAGCGTTTCCAAGAGCAGAGCCCATCCACTTGCTGAGGCTGTGCAATAGCGCAATAGGAGCGCCGTGCTGACACCCCTGCCGCTGTCAAAGGATCGTCTTAGTTGGCCCCCAAGTCCCAACCTGGAATGTCCCGAACGGAGGGGGACTTGTGAAAATTTTCGGAATCCGTGGGAGCTGGTCGGACTCCGGAGGTGCGTCAAACGCCCCAGGCTGCAGAACACGTCCGGAAGAGGCGAACGAAAATAACTTGCTAGTAACCACCATGAAGGGGGAGCTGAAGGAATCCATCCGTACGAAGACAATAGTGTCTGAAGCTGGCAACAAGCAACAAATCAGATCAAATACCGACCATTTTCCTCTAATCACCTGCGGTAGTTACAGACATCAATGCTCTTTCGGACCGGGGCTGATGTGTTGTCTCTGGGATATTTAGACGACCAGCCTTATCATTGATCAATCGATCACCGACTGGCTGCCTTTCGTCTCTTTTTCTCCGTATACCTTTTCAGTGAGCTCTTGATCCACAAACAAGAATTTCTGCTGAAATTTCTATTTCACCTACAACATGACAACGAACTTGAACCACGGCTTTCATAAGCCCCTTCTCGCAGCCAGTATCACGGCTGCTTCTTTCCTCACGGGTAAGGAGTCATTACTTACGTCCTGACATTACCCACTGTCTTTCTTGACTTCATATTCCCGAGCACCCTGCGTCACACAAATAAACATGTAGAATTAAACACTGACACGAGGGATTTGCGCAAAGGCTGCCAGCTGAGCCTTTCCTCCGTCTCCATAGCCACCATTCTTGGCCCTCCGCATATAGACGGAACTGCTGCGCTGAGCCAATTCCGTACCGTCTTCGCCCGGGGCTTCTATCTCTGCCCGACGTCTGCCATATTCTCTGGCTTATGCTGCTTTGTTAACGCTGGCCTGATCACCATGAACCACTACTCTTCAAATGGCGTCTTGATATTGAGTGGTCGAGCGCCGCGGCTGCTGGTCGCCGGCGGCTTGATGATTGGTATTGTACCGTACACGTTGGCGCTCATCGTGCCTCTGGAGGAGCAGCTACTTTCCCTCGAGTCTCGAGTACGCAGAGGAGAGCAGGCCGATGTGCGAAACGAAGACGTGGTGGACAAGTTGGAGACTTGGAGATGGCTGAACTACGGGAGGACGTTGTTGCCTGCGCTGGGAGTCGCTATGGCGTGGACTTTGTGGTAATAGCTCATCTCAGGGATACGTAGAATTGTTTAAGCCGCCTCCACAGTTTTTGGTGTGCCCTGTGACCCATGACTCAAGTTCTCGCATCATTCCGGTCGTTGCGACGATTTGGAATTACCCCCCCTCTGGTTCGGCAAAACGAGGGCTGCGGCTGGAAGAGTGACCGAAGCACCGAGAAGAATAGCCCTGATGTTTTAGTTCAAATCTCTCAGTCATGGGTTACCTGAATATCCATTTTCTGTTCAATGAGAATTCAGCTACCTCGACGTCGTGTTCGCGTTCAATGCTGTTCTAACCATGTTCATCTATTAACTGCGGGTGAGAAACTGCGTTTGGAACACTCTACCATCGTAATGAACCTCCGAAAATCTAAAAATTCACAATATCCCTCAAACTGAAGCTCAAGCTGCAGCAGTTGGAACGACTGTCTTGTGGCTGGAAAACCACCGCCTCGTCCCCTTCACAACCCGAAAGCCAACCCTCCTGTCTTCTGCCAACTTCCACAGGACTTGCGTCACGAAAGGTTCGAGAGCAACTTTGGATAGCTCCTGAGTAAGAGCATCGCCATGCAGAACCTCCACCAGTTCTCGTACGGTAAGACTGCCCGCTGCCATCCCTGCACCGCCTTCGCGTTGCCGGTTTTCCACCAGCGCGTTCCACACCTGTGTCTCTCGCAGCTCTTTGTGACGCAGGTAGCGCAAAATCTTCTGTGGAAGGTCGGCTATCTCTGCACCATGAGCTGGGTACCCCACGGCGCACCCGAGACCACTCATGCGGTATAAGCTCCGCATGTAGGCCCCAAGATCTTCCTCCACGGAGTACCCATGACCCAGGACGTTATCACCGGTGAATAGAGCATTCTCTTCCTCAAGCTGAAAGCACATGTGGTCTACCGCGTGGCCCGGAGTGAAGACGGCGCGGATGGTGGCGCCTTCGACGCGAAAGACCTGACCGTCCACTATGGGCTGCTGGCCGGGGTCCGGCGTATTTTTGAAGACTCGCGATGCCAACTCGGGCCTGTAGGTGATCAGGTCGGAAACCCCACCAGTGTGATCTCCGTGCCAGTGGGTTAGGAGTACATATGCAATGTCCAACTTGTTGTCTTCCAGGACAGCCTTGATGTTTTTCGCCCATAAAGGTTTTCCCTGTCGAGGAAAGATGCCGTTAGCGACAAAGGTCTGGAATGATCGACTGAGGCAGCAATAGGTGTAGATTTCACGTGAAGAGATGGCAATGGCATACTTCGCCCGTGTCTATGAGTATACGACTCGTCCCCGTGCCCACGAGGTAGGTGTTCGTGCCCTGGAGTTGCATCTCGCCAGGGTTGCCGCCGAGGACTCGAGACACCCGTCCGGTAATCTCGCTGACATCGTCGAGGGGAGGAAGCGATCTTCTTTGGGCTGAGAGATAGTCCTGCCAGAGGACGTTGTTGACCTTGATGGGGTTACGCGCCATGATTGCATGCGAAACGTCCTATGATTTGTTCACTGGAGACGTCAATAGGTGAGGTGCGTAAAGCGAAAGGGCGGATGAAGAGACCCCAGACAGCTGTGATGACACCGGGCTTAATGGGAAGGTGTTCATGAGCCAGAGGCCCAACACATGTCGGTGCCACCCCCAAAGCCCAAATGGGTGGTACATGTACCGACTCTCGGAAGCCGATTACTCAAGACGGGGGTTTCAAAAGTCTATCATCAGGATTCGGATTCCGACCATGATCGTTCAGGGTCCTGGTCAGGATTCAAATGCAGCTTACGTGGGGCGTCAACTCACTTCTGATTCACCTATTTTTGGCTCGAGATAATGAAATGTCGTCTGATAGGACGATAGGTGCCCCGAAAGATCCATCAGCTTCATCATCTTGATCTAAATGGCAGGTCTGGTAAGAAAGGCTGTATGGTTACTAGCAGAGGCACGCCGGGCAAAAGTGCAGGATTTCCCACCCTGAAGACGCCCCCAAAGTTTCCCCATTCAGAGCAAGCTCCAGCAATGTAATGAGTAATTAATAAAAAGGAAGCTCTGAAATGATCAGCTGCCACCTACAGCAGCACGCGCTCGCGACTGCAAGTGTGAGGCGTTACTTGTGATTTACTCTTGCGCCGAGGAAACGAGGCTAGATGGTCTCATTTTTATTCAATATCTGCTTTCGTAGTCCATCTATTCGAGCCTTGACCGTGCACATGAGTGTTGTATCATGATTATCCATCCTAATTAATAAAAAGGAAGCTCTGAAATGATCAGCTGCCACCTACAGCAGCACGCGCTCGCGACTGCAAGTGTGAGGCGTTACTTGTGATTTACTCTTGCGCCGAGGAAACGAGGCTAGATGGTCTCATTTTTATTCAATATCTGCTTTCGTAGTCCATCTATTCGAGCCTTGACCGTGCACATGAGTGTTGTATCATGATTATCCATCCTCTCCATAGATAACATACGTCCAAATGCCCCGTTTCTCCTGCTTTCAGACCTTGGCTGGTTTCCAACCCACCAGCGCAACCCTGGCGGCGATAAACATCGCCAAGCCAATGACGCAGCTTATACCCCCAAAGATCTTGGTGTTTTGGAACGAACCGTTGCTACTGCTGACGATGGCACCGCCAATTGGCGAGCCGGTTAGAGCCGCAATTGCGGCAACTGAGAACGCAGACCCGGTTCGTACCCCAATATCTTGAATAGGTGAAATGTGTCCAATAAGTACGGGAGTCAGACCGATACCAGCTCCAGACGCCACCCCAAACAGCGCCGCAAAAACAATAGTGGCTGCGGTTCCCGAAGCCGGTATCCAGAGGGCTAGGATGAGGACCGTTGTGAAAAAACTCATAGTGATCATGACGTTAAAGTGACCAACCTTATCAGCGAGAGCGTTAGGGACTGTTCGTCCAATAATACTGCGAGAACATGTTAGGTACGTCTAATTCTGTTGAGAAATAGCTTACCTAGCGCCGTTCAGGATGACAACGAGATATTGAGCTAAACTTCCAGACACGCCGGTTGCGCGAGCTTCAACCACGATGAACGTAATTGGAATGAACATGCCCCCTGATGATGCGATTGAATTCAGCATAGCAAAACTATATAAAGCCGTGTATGGGAGACTCACAGTAAAAGAAGTAGATAGCGGCAGTGAGGAGCCCAAAGGGCAGCTCTCGGAGGGGCTGGACGAAAGCTTTTAGGTGGAGCGGGCGCTTAGTAGGTGGGATGCGGGACTTGACGGTGAGATTGGCCCAGACCAGTAACGCCAGAATGAGAAAGGCGCACACCCTCATAGACCAGCCGAAGCCAATCTGTGGGATCAGATGGACTAGCATAATAGGGAATATCACGCCTCCGATAGAAGAACCGCAGACGGTAAGGCCCATAGCAGCGCCGCGTTTCTGGAAAAACCACGTTGAGACCTGAGAAGAGAAATCGAATTAGCCGCGAGTCACATGTGACGGGAGTTCAGATGTGAATAATGTAACCACTTACACATGTAAAAGCAGGATAGAACACCATAGAAGCACCAATTGCCGAGCAGACTGCTTGGCTTAGAAGAATCTGATAGTATGTTTCTGATATACTGGCCATCATCAAGCCAAAGACATGGAAAAATGTGCCCACAGCAAGGGGAATCGCGGGACCGTAGTCATCGATTATCTTGCCGACGAAGATCCCGCTAAAGATCATGAAGAAAACTACACGAGAAAGGTGGAGTTAGTAAGTCGGATGCTTGGAAGAAGTTGTCCGGGAATGAAGCCTTATCGAGCTTACTCTGCAGGGCGGGAATCCAGGCAATGTCGGATGGTGTGTAGTCGCGCAACTGGTGCGTTTGATAGTAGTTCTGGAAGATGCCGACGCAGTTTACCCAACCAAAGGATACGAAGAGGCACGCCGACGCCCCGGAGACGGTGAGCCACGCCTTGGCGCCACCCTCCGGGAACGACTTATCGAGCCCGGTATGGCTGGCCGATTCGGGGAGCGCATCGGTCTCGTCATCGCTGGTGCTGGGCGCCTGAGGGGCAATCTTTTTCGTTTCCGACATGCTTTCCAATATTGCTAGAAAACCATTCAAGGGCGTTGATGAAAGTAATGAAAGTCGACAAAGTACGGCGCAACGGAGAGAGCGATGAAACATGGAAAGAGATTCATTCTCAACAGCTCTCAATTTTGGGGGTCGGGTAAGGAAAATACAGGTAAGCCGGGGGTGGGGAGGGGGAAACCTGAGAAGGGACTTTTGACCGACGGAAGATGAGCGCGAAATGAATAGCCCGAAGTACGAGAAATGCCGATTGGATGCTGTCTGCAGGCAACGATGACGGTGGATCATGGCCCATCAGCCCAGGCAGACAACAAGCGACTGCGCCACTTTGACCTCTCGGAATCCGAAATAGATGTCGGGTCCCGATCGGTCCATTGGGGGCCAAGGGGTTTCTTCCGATCTGAACGTTGATCGGACGATTCTTTTGTGGACTGGCAGATTTGATCTTTGGGACATGTTGTCGGCTCGGCGGTAGACTGTAGAGAGGATGCTTGGAGAAATCAGTGACTTTTTAGTATATATGAAGTGTGAAGAAGACGTTTACAAGTCCTCATTCAACCCTCAGCTTCATCAAACAATACAACAAACGCCATCATATCTTTTCATCATGTCTGTTCCTTCCAGCTGTACTGTTCTTATCGTCGGCGGCGGCCCAGCCGGTTCTTACGCAGCGGCTGCTTTGGCCCGTGAAGGTATCGATGCCGTCGTTCTTGAGGGCGATAAGTTTCCCAGGTAGGTAGTCTCGACATCATTCACGGTTCCCTCGGCACATATAATTCAATGTTGGTGCTGATTGTCAAACCAAAGATACCATATCGGAGAGAGCATGCTCCCATCTGTTCGCCACTTTCTGAGGTTTATTGATCTTGACTCCACCTTCGACAGCTATGGTTTCCGCGTCAAGGTGAGTTTGTAAAATCTATTCAAGTTGAATGCGTCGAGACTGACAAGCTTACAGAAAGGAGCGACTTTCAAGCTTAACCACTCTCTTCCTGATGTTTGTGAGTCTGCCTTGGATCCATCTAGACGCAGGCGTAGAAACTGACTTTCAACTACAAAGATACCGATTTCGTTGCTGCTGGAGGTCCAGAGGGCTACGCTTGGAATGTCGTTCGCTCGGAGGCCGACGAGCTCCTCTTCCGCCACGCTGGCAAGAGTGGCGCCCAAATCTTCGACGGTGTCAAGGTCAGCTCGCTAGAATTCCAGCCTCTGGATATCGCCGAGCAGGTTCTCGCTGATGCCGAGTTGCCGAACCCCGGCAGGCCGGTCTCCGCAACCTGGACGCGTAAGGAGGACGGGACCTCGGGCGTTATCAACTTCCAGTACCTGATCGATGCTAGTGGCCGCCAGGGTCTGATGAGCACAAAGTATCTGAAGAATCGCAAGTACAACGAGGGCCACGGTCTGAAGAACATCGCCACCTGGGGCTACTGGGAAAATGCCGGCACATACGGGGTCGGGACCCATCGTGAGGGCTCGCCGTATTTCGAAGCTCTGGAAGGTACTTCTCGGCTCTTTGGCCCATCCTCATGCTACCCCTTTGCTAATCTTCTTTCTTTTCCGCAGATGCCAGCGGCTGGGTATGGTTCATCCCTCTTCACAACGGCACCACTTCCGTCGGTGTCGTCATGAACCAAGGGGTCTCTGTTCAGAAGAAGAGGGAGAAGGACCTAGACAGCAAGGGCCTCTACCTGGAGTCTCTCGAACTTACGCCCAACTTGAAGAAGCTGCTGGATGGAGCGAAGCTGGTGTCTGAAACCAAGTCAGCCTCGGACTGGTCTTACAGCGCTCCAGCCTATGCCAGTCCCTACGTCCGCATGGCCGGCGATGCCGCCTGCTTCATCGACCCGTTCTTCTCTTCGGGCGTGCATCTCGCCTTGGCAGGTGGCCTTTCTGCCGCTGTGACGGTGGCTGCCTCCATCCGCGGCCAGGTCACCGAGGTCGGCGCCGCAAGCTGGCACTCGAACAAGGTTGCGGAGGGGTACACGCGCTTCCTGCTCGTCGTCTCCAGCGCTCTGAAGCAGATCAAGGCGCAAGACCAGCCTGTCCTGACAGACTGGGATGAGAAGACCTTTGACAGAGCCTTCAACCACTTCAGACCCAGTACGTGACGGCCCTCGTTGACGAGATTTGTGTTGGTATGCTAACTTGCCGTAAACAGTCATCCAGGGTTCCGTCGACGTGACTGGTAAACTATCCCAAGAAGAGGTATCCAAGACGGTCGACTTCTGCTTCCACGCTTTCGTGCCCGTCCCTCTCGCCGAGAAGGAGGCCGTTCTTGAGAAGATGGAGCAGCTTGGCATCAGCGACCCCAATGTCTCCGACGACAAGTTCAACCAGGGCGTCGCCGAGCTTCAAGGTCTGCTCTCGCCGGAGCAGATGCGTATCATGCACACCATCAGGGCGCGACAGATGCTCCGGTCGGAAGACACCCTCAACATCGACAACTTCGGCACCGATGTCATCAACGGCCTTTCCCCCAATCTGGTCAGGGGCGATCTCGGCTTGGTCGAGGCGCGGAAGATTGCGCAGGCCGCCCAAAGTGACGTTCTGGCTCTGATGAGTGGCGAGGAGAAGGCCGCGGCGTCGAAGGACAAGGTCGATGGCCCTACGAATGACGATACCAATGGCGATTCGATCGATACCGCCAATGGACATTCAGATGGTCATTCGGAAGACCACGTCAACGGTGCAAATGCGGTTCACACCCATCTGGATCCTCTCGCTGGAACCACCGACGGCTTGGGGGACGAAGCCACCAGAATTCGACTCCAAGATACTCTTCACGGCGTTGCCGAGGACATGGAGAGCCCTCACGATACTATGCTTCGCATGTTCAACTCGGTCAGCTCTTCCCTATCTGTGCCATTTCTGTGCACACATGTGAACCAAGCTAACGATTTCCACAGTCACTCGAAATTGCCGTGGTGAAGTCAGCTATTGATCTCGGTCTTTTCCGGTCTCTTTCCGAAAATGCATCCCCGCTCAGCGTCGATAGTCTCGCCGCTCGGACAGGGGCCGACCCTCGTCTACTCTCACGTCTCCTTCGCTACCTGGCATCCATCAGGATGGTAAAGGAGACTGGTAAAGACCACTTCACGGCCAACCACGCCAGCAAAGCCTTCTCCGATCCGCGCATTGAGGGCGCCATGAACTATACGTGAGACTTGCCAGATCACGCCCCCAGTGAAAGGCCGACGACTCTGACTAATGTATGACTTGAACAGATTCCACATCGGCGGCCCCTCCTACCAGGCTCTCCCCGGTTTTCTCAAGGAGCACAAGTACCAAAACCACACCGGTGGTCGGTTCGCTTGGCACAAGGGTGCCAATACGGACCTTGACTTCTTCCCGTGGGCTCAGCAGCACCCTGAGGCGCTGAACTGGTTCCAGCAGCTCATGAGCGTGCCACGTGACGGTGACTGGCTCGATGTGGTACCCCCGGCCTCTCTTGCCACAGTCGAGGCCGACCGTCCGGTCCTCGTCGATGTCGGAGGTGGCTTTGGCCATCAGTGTGCGCGCCTGGTGGCCCGTTACCCGGAGCTTCGGGGCCGCGTTATCTTGCAAGACCGCGAGGAAACTGTGCTGACTGCTCCTCGGATTGAGGGCGTCGAGGCTAAGGCTCACGACTTCTTCGGGCCTCAGACGACCAAAGGTAAGCGTTTCTCCATGACGAACATCCCCGAATCCTCTCCCGTTTCTTATGGACCCCCCTTGCTGACACGGGGGAAACAGGAGCGCGGTTCTACTACCTCCGCACGGTGCTGCACGACTGGGAGGACGCCGAGGCGATCCAGATCTTGCGAAACCTGGTGCCAGCCATGGAGCCCGACTCCCAGATTCTGATCGACGAGATGGTGCTACCCAACACGGGCACGCACTGGTGGTCGGCATGTCTCGATCTGCACATGTACACCATGCTCGGAGCCATGGAACGTAGCTACGACCAGTGGGCTTACCTGTTGGACGCGGCAGGCTTGAAAATGATCGAGGTCAAGACATACAGCCCGGTGATGAGGCACTCTGTCATCGTGGCCGCACCCAAATAGACGACGCAGCAGCGGATGCTCTTGGTGTACTCTTGGGTCTCGGTGGAGGCATATGTGGCGTTTGAAGGCAGCATATGTATATGCAGTTGCCGAGAAATAAGTAGTAAATATGTAGAACGATTGTTTCGCCTTTCTAAGTCAATACCTCATGCACGTGGAGTGAGTCTATTCAACTTCAATTATCTCCAAAAAAGTATGCTCTGTTTTCAGGCATAATTGTTATTACCAAGTCCATCTCAGGCAATTTTGCTCGAACCCTGAGGAATGCTTGACCTAGGCTCAGTTTTATATGAGGATCCTTTCGTGTGCGTTCTTCTCTACTCACCTCATGTTCATTCCAAATTCGTATCCCTAAGGTACGTGAACTTGAGTGGGCATAACGAGATTGCTGTCTACCTTGAGCCTGATGTCTAGTGATTCGTCACCGACACGATGGTCTTGGCTCATTCGGCGCCTTCAAATCAAAGGCAATTTGAACACTCGAAACGACCTAGACACGATCGAATCATCCAACACATGCAAGCAAGCCGTCTACATGTATTTAACACCGACGATTTTACAGTACATGTCCTTCGTTCTAATGCACCCTCCATAACAGACCTGATTATCCTCATTCCTTTGCTTCTTCCCAGCTGGCATAATCATCGAAGTAACGATCATGGATCCTCTTTGCGTAGTCGACCAACACCGGGTAGGCTTGAATGACCTCACGCGTATCCGGAGCACTAAAAGCAGAGAGTCAGATTGGATAAGGGCGTTTCTTCGAGGAGATTCACGAGACGGCAACGGGGACAGTAAAGAAAGTTGACTCGAAAGGCATGGCACTAATTGCTGGTGTGGGTGGTGGTACTTACGCATCGCACACGAGACCGGCTGCAATGAAGCCGAAGACAGTTGCATCCGCCTCGGTGGGCTCGGCGCCCCCCTGGAGCCAGAAAGGCGTCGTGACATTCGGAGCCGTCAGGCGTGCTTCGGCTAGGAGAGCGTTGATGTTGTCCCAAACTGCGCGCCGGAGGGTGGCCAGCTCTTCTGTGGAAAACCGGCCGGTTCCTTGGCCATACAGAGTGCGAGTAACTCCACGATAGGCAAGTAGGCCGACGAGGAGCTGAACAGGATAGGGAAGGGCAGCGAGCACCTTGTTGCGCATAGTTTCATAATTTTCATGCCAGCGTTCGTGGTTCTGGGGTAGCCGTAAGTCAGCGGCCTCTGTCTGGATCATCTCGCAAACAGCCGGCAATGGAGCGACCGCATTGGCCGCTGGTGTGGTGTGCTTGCCCATGCTAACTTTGATTGATGGGAGAAAGAAGACGAATGACGAACCTGGAAGAAATACAGCTTATCCTCCAAAAGGGCTTGGACAGCTAGATCGTGGGCGCGTCCTACCGGTGGCAGATCTGCGTTGAGGTCATCGCAGGCGCCGTCGTTGACGAGCTGCTTCGTGATGGCGGAAGAGTCGCCCATGGTGACAGGGCCCTGCGAACCATCGTACGTGATGTCAACATACGGGATCTTGCCGCGCGGGGCCTTGCCGAGGGAGCCTTGCTCAATGCGGTAGCGCAGACCGGCGAAGCGGAGACGAGCCTCAAGCTTGGTGACAAACGGCGACCAGACATAGTTGTTGGTGGCAGCGAAGCCGCGGTAGACCACGAGGGTCGGCGGAACCTTGAGCGAGGGAGCCATGGCGACGGAAACGCGTGCTGCGATGACGAGGGTGCGGGCGCTGCCAAGGTGATGATACAAGACAACAAGACGGCGGTGCAGTCAACTCCCTTTTTAAGCGACGTTGGTCGTTGGTCGTTGGTGGGTGGTTGTGGCCAGCTGGGGCTGAGAGGTGAGGGGATGGATGAATGAATGGAAGTGAGACTGTGAGACTGCGGGGGTGAGGTCGGAGTCTGAGCAATGGGACTTTGGGAGAAGGGACTGTTTGCCTATGTAGGGCAAGATCTGCGTGGACCCCAAATTGTTTGATGAGGCTGAGGTGCAGATCGGGCTATTCCTGACTGGCTCGTTTACGACCGGGCCGGGATCCCGGCCTCGGCTACAGGACCCACTGTTGACGGATGCGATCCCCGGTCCATGGCCCCACCAGGCCGCGCACCCCCGCACCCCAACATCACCAGCTCAGCCTGCCGTAAGGGGGAGGTTATCTAGCCACTTGCCCCTGAATGGCAAACAGAAATCACCTCACACTGTCCTCATACATTTTTGTTATTGAGACAACTAGTTGCTCCCAACGCCGAACTTGTCTCAGAACTACTCAGAACTTGGTAGGCCACAGAATGATTAAGAACAAAAATCCGCCACTGCCACATCCATCATCCGTGGAAGAGTGCCGATCATACGAGGGGGCTGACTCGGTGAGCCTCTCTGTGCCGCACTATTCAGTCTGCAGGAGACAGGTTGCCGCCCTATCCATGGTACGCTGTAGCCTGGACCTCAATCCGACTGCGATTGGGGCCATGACTGCTTCCGACAGCATGTCATCCGATTCACTACTGTAACGCCGGCTGAACTGCACCGTCAGGTTGGCCACCCGATGGAGCTCCTCCGTGACCCGAGCCAGGTGATCACCGGGTGGACATGACGCTTCGACGGTACCCAGCCTGGAGAGTGCCGCATCCAGAATGTCCAGGATCACGGTGCACACGGTTGCAGCAACCATGGCCACGTCTTGACGGCTCGAGCATGGACAGATGAGGATGCGAGAGAGGTTGCTAATCGAGTCACCAAACGGACCGAACAGTTGCGTCAACGACAACGACGATGCCTCAAAAGCCTGCTGCTGATCCGAGAGTGTCTCTAGCAGCTGAAGGGCAAGTGAAGCGCAGTCTTGAGCGACGTTGTCATGATCTACGCGTTGTTGGCTTTGGTCTCGGCGAAGCAGATGGTCGTCGGGAGCATTTCCCGCTTGCTGTTCAGGCGGGTAGAGGCCTGAAGACGATGAGCAAGAAGAAATTGGTGCTTGGTCACGGGTATTCCAACCGCGGGAAAGAGATGCATTGACATCACCGTCGTTGCTCCATGTTGCTGCGCCTGATCCTGCGCTTCTCCAGGAATGCTCTCGTCGTGGAGCACCGGGCCGTTGGTGGCTGGTCCCAGACACGGATCCCAGTGTCTCCACAGCTGGTGTGACATCGTCCGGCGAAAAGTCTCTGGGTTTTCTTTTGGTTCCATACGCAGATGCTGCTTTTGCACGATCCTCGTTTGTAGATCTGCTGCAGTTACCGCGAGACCTTCCTGCTCGTCGAGCCGGGCTGTAGAAACATCGACGCCCCGATTTGACGCATCGAAGACAGCTCGGCTTCTCTTTGCTGCATTTCACCTTGAACGCCGAACAAGCGTCGCACGAGTCCTTCAACTTGGCCCTGCAAGACGGTGCCGGTGGAGGGCTCAGCATGGTGCCTGTGATTGCGGGTGGATGGGGTTCGATATGTGGAAAGGTCTCGGAAGGAAATTCGAAGCAAAGAATGTCACTAGAACCCTGGGGAAGCCCTCGAGGGAGAATACGGACGTAGTGATCGCCCCAGAATAACTACTCGGACGTGCATCTGTCTGCAAGTTTCCGACGACACGGTCTTATACTGCAAGAATATGTATCCTTGGCCCAGAGTGCTCCTCAACCACTACCCATGTCCAGTCTGCGTGGGCGTTGGTTGGCATGTCCATGACAGCCCACAACTTGCAGGGAACATGAAGCCACCTACTTCCATGGTATGTTTGGTAGGACCGGATATCCTCAAAGGAAGCCTGGAAGGGGCCTTGGGTCCTTCGCCTAACGATTTTTGGCAGAGTCCTGAGGGACTTTCGGTAGGGCTTAGTCTGAGTCAGACTTCGGTGAAGCTGGTGATCCTCCCCCTGATCTCCAATTCAGGTCAGGGTGGGGGTCAGGCCCATCTCTCGGTTGGCTCGCTTGCTTCTCGTTTAATAAGAGTCATGATTGGCTGCGCCTTCGCCCCTGATATCTAGACATATATCTAGACATGCAGCTGTACCTTGGCCTGTTGGGCTTGTGGGGCTTGAAGGACCTCTCGACAGGGGCTTGTCGGGGGCCAATCCCACAATGTCACGCCATCTCAATAAGCGCTGCATGTTGGTCCATTGCGATTGCGAAAAGCCAACTCCGTCAATAATTCTGCCTAAAAAAGGTACGCAGCTAGGTAGCCATACAAATCCATAATGCTTGTCTGGCCTTCCCGCCACCCACCTGTTGGCACTCACGCCTCTTGTTGGTGGTGGCTGCGTTCCAGCTGGTACCATATTCGACCAATACCCTCAGTGTGCCCTGTTCTGCGTTGGCGCTTCATTTAAGAAACGTTGCCGCTTCTCGGGGCTTTCTTGGCTCCCGGCTTGGCTGTCAGAACACTGGACAGAATCCTTCGACGACGTAAGACCATGAGTTGCTGGAACTGTAACCAGGACCTCCATCTAGCCGACTACAATACGGCGTTTGACGGGTCGAGTCCTGACGAACCTCGACGACCGAATTATTCTCCAAGCACCCAACAACCGCAATTCACCGACTCCAGTCACACGCATGGCCACCAATTCGATTTATCATCCTGCGACGGCGACGATTGGATCCCCCCAAGCCTGCAAAATAACATTACTCACTTTGAAGAAGATATTGAGCCTTCACTACGGTTTCTATACCCCATAGATCTCAACCATCATTCAACATCGTATTGTGGAGCGCCAGAAAGCGAAGAATTCGACGTTCACTCGAACAAAGGCGTCAATGGCGGCCAACCCGAACTATCATACAGTTTGACACCGTTTTCGCCAGCACAGACTCCTGCGCCGTCTCGGGCTGTTCGCAACACCCCGAACACCCACGCCTTCTCATGCGCGAACCCTGACTCCAAGTCGTGCTTCAAGTCTGCAGTGTGGGCTGTTCAGGGACTTCACAGTTCTTGGCCTGGTCACAATTGCGTCTCCAATCGAGTTGTTGAGCCTCCGAGTCACCCCCCTCCACCACGTCTCGCGGGTGCCGTCCTAGCGGCAACTCGGACAGCAGCGCGAACCATATCAAGCATCCTCAAATGCTCGTTCTGTTGCAGACACCTGGCTCTGCAGATGCTCATCTCGGTCATCTGTGATAAGGTGATTGTTTGGGGCGACGCCATTTTGAATGCCTCTTCTTCTGCCGATGCTACGACAAACCTCGCGGCCATCGACAGGGAGGCATACAGACATCAGGCCGCCCAGAAGGGCCAGAGAGAGCAGATTGGAATGCAGTCCGTGAGCATCGGCGGCTACTCGCTTGAAGAGGGACCACTTGCCACTCGCGTGCGGGCATGCCTTGTTTTTGACGACTTGGAACTGGTTAGTGCGTCTGTTGAGCAGTTGCTACATCGTAGTCCAAAGGACAATTGTCAAAGAGACGTCTCGCCAGCCAACAAGGTCGAGACTGCTTTGGACGACGCGGTACATCACCGTCTTAAAAGCTTGCTCCACGGAAAGCTGCAGGAGGCTATTACTAAGACAAAGCGTATACTGCATGACGTATAACATGAAGAAGATATTCTGATAACGTCAGCTTATTATATTATTAATCAGGTAAATTCATAAATGGTTAAGGATCTAGCTTCCAAGGCTTATGTCCTGTAGCAACGATTATTGATTGCGGACCTCGCACTGGAGCCACGTAGAGTTCCTCTACTTTTGCCATCGTGCGCCTTTTCGCTATTTTGCGAGTGATGTGGACTTATCTAGAAAAGAAAAAAAAAAGCAAATAGAAATACGTCCCAGCTCTTTCACGAACTTCTCAACCACTGCCCTCTTCTAAGGAGTCCATGGAATTTCAAAAACCTCGACATGTGGGTGATTGGGGTCTAGTGTTCCATCAGGCTTCAGCCGCAAGTTGTCGACTTCTTGCATCAGATCCCTGATTTTCAAGGGCAGCATCTGACATCCTGGTGAGACGTTTGGGGAATTGGCTCCATTCCAATGGCTATGGGTGTCAGATTGAACGCTGGCGAGTGCTGCTCTTATTAATAAGCACACCAGTATGTAAACCTATCCCCACAGACAAGGCGCTTTCCATGACAGAGTAATTTTGCCCAAGCATAAGCCTCAACAGGATTTTTACAATACACATGACGATTCTTACCCCCTTACACTAACGTATTCAACATGTCCAGCCTGTCAGGCAGAAGACACTTCGATAACATGCTTCACTTCGGCCCGTTATGTCTCAGGATTATTAGAACGCAGGCTGTGATTACCCATGTTTCACCGCAACCTCATGCTTATTCCAGCTGCAAGGGCGGATGATTGTACGATCAGTTCCAAAGTTTAGCTAAGTAGGGCGATGGGAGGCCCGGACTTTTGGTTTTCTTTACACAGCTTTCAAATGTGGAAGTTTCGTCAACGGAAGAACTCGATGAGTTAACTACTTCCCAGCCAAAAATGTGCTACTGATGGATTCAGAGGCTAAGGAAGCAGGGTCAACCAACATGCTTCTTAAACTATCGTAATCTTTTACATTATTCCAATTCCACCGTCTCAGTTTAAAGGTAAACAATAAACCTCCAAGGTTAATTCATCTATCCACCTAGGAAACTTCTGAACAGAATATAGTAGTTATGCGTATATAACTCCAAACTATGCCTTATCATCTCTAAGAGGCATAAAGTCGCAGAGGTTTTGAAATATCTAATGGAAATAATGATAACCTGTAGGTAGAGACTACTCGCTAAGGTGGAACTATCTGTAGAAGCAGACAACTAGTCTATCTAGCCCCTCTCCTCTAGAAATAGACTTCAACTTATGAAATTAATCAATCTAATAGAGAGGTAAACATTTAGCAACGGTCTTACTACTTAAAGCCTACATACTAAATAACTATTAGTCTAATGTTACGACCCGTTGGGCTTAGCTACCAACACAACCCCGCCAGGCTCTCGGCGGCTAACGTGGGATGTCAGGCCCACATTGCATAACCGAGTCAAGCATCTCGACTATGCATCGGCTATTGTTTCCTAACCCAAATATGGCTTATTTGCATCTGTTTCATGTAGTGTAGCACATCTCGATGGATCTGGCCAACTGGCCACTTATCCTTTACAACAACATAGTCAATTCAATGAAGACAGTTATGCTGTTACTCGCTGGTAGCCACGCTGTCGCCCTGACAGTTATGAGCCCAGTTGATTTCTGGTAACTGGCTCTTGATCGCGAGATTCATTAAGATCAATTCAAGAAGTACGCCAAAAGATAGGCATAGCGATCAGGATCGTTACAGCCCTATATCCTAAATGGCAGCAAAGTACAGCCAGCAAAAGCGACGGCAAAGACTGTCCCTATTGTCCAGAGTCAACTGGGCGTAGAACATAAAAGTCCTCCATCTATGAGGCATATTTCACAGACGAAATCCGCAATATCAGGCGGAAAAGACCAATCTAAGCGACGCCGAATAAGACCGGCCGACCCTGCAGAACAACTACAAGCAACTGCTTGTTAAGAATCACTATCAGAGGATCTATTAAGTCCTATGAGATTATCCTAAACAAGCTTAAGCAAAGCTATCGCTATGGACACCTCAAAGACAGCTCAGCGCTTATGGAGCGACGCAGATTAGGTTAAATGGTTCAACCTTCTGAAGATGACAGCCTTATTTCATGAGGTCTGGCCATATGTTGATCCAGATGGAGAGCAGGTTCTCACTGAACTATAAATTAACCTTCCACCAGACGATGCAGAGAATTATGACAGGTTACTGAAGGTTGCTGTATTTCGCCACTAAGATGTAACTAGGATTCATGGCAACAGAAAGAAAGGGATCATTAAAGTAGTCAAATAGATCACTTCTACAGTCGACTCAGTCTATCTCAACTAAGTCGCAAGCTAAGAGACTGTCAGAGGCATAGTAGTTGCCCTGAAAGGCTAACTGAGCCCTAATAGTTACGCCAGATAACAGCAAGTCCTTCACAGATATAACATCTATCGCAGAACGATCAAGAGGACTCGTCTTACTGAATAGCTTATTATCTACCAGGAGATTATAGAGGAGGCAGCCTCAGCAGGAGTCCCAGCGCTTACAGACTTAACCACCTAAGTGGCAGACTTCCTGAACATGGTTAAGGAGATTGCCTTAGAATACTACACTGGAGCCTCGTTCAACTTCTCTAAGAACACTACCTAGGCTCAGATAAATCAGGCAACCCAGCCTCCCCAGGTTCCAGCTGGAGTCACCCAGGCTTATTAGTTCAGACAGTGGGTTCGTACGTTCAACCCAGACTGGCTTACTGCAAGCAAACCTCCAGTCAGTTCAACCAGCTTTGCAACCTGGCAAGGGGAAAATGAGGATAACAACTCCTCATCCTCACAGAACAACAGTTCAAAGAAGAAGGAGAAAAGGAAGCCAGATTGCCCAGCCTGTTTTGGACAGCAAAAACACTATATTGTTGACTGCTGGCATATGAATCCAGCTAAGAGACATTCTCACTACGATCCAGAGAAGGATTCAAATAATAAAGCTATTGAGGCAGGCAGGAAATTCCTTAAAGACCATCCCAGAATATAAGAGAGACTAGATAAAGTCCTCAAGGAGGGATTATCAGGATCATCCTCAACTAACTGGAGACAAAGGTCTAGGTCACAATCTAGAGAAAGGAGCAACAACACTTTATATGTTAGCCACTCAGATGATGCTTCTATTATGTTATCAGCAGATTTATCTTCAGACTTATCCTTCTATACTGTAGATTTATCCCTCCTATCACCATCTAGCTTTACTTCAGGTTTCTGCCTTAAGGATAGTGTTATTATTAACTGTAGAACAGCTTTCTACGTCTGTAACAATATTACCAGAATAAAGGATCTTAACTACACTTAGCAGAAGGCTATCCTCACAGGTAGAGGAGCAGTTTAGGCTGTCGCAAGAGGTACTATAGTAGTCCGCCCTAATATGGGGGGCAAGGGGAAGAAGGGGATTAGAGTCAGAGATATATAGTACACACCTGACTACCCTGTGACGCTTATAGCCACAGAGCCACTCAGGAAGAAGGGTCTCTTCTTCACTTCTAAACACCTAGGGATAGAAAACTCTCAGGGAGAATTACTATTCAAGACCCCTCATCAGTATGGGCAATACCTTCTTAAGTATTATGCTCCACAGGCAATAGAGACTCCACTGCTATCTAAGCAAGTTACCTTTCAGCCTACAGGTTAGGATAAAGAAGAAACATCCTTTTTAGGATTTAAGAAGTCCTCAGACCCTGTTATATCTAAGGCTGAGGCCTGGCTATAGCATGAAAGACTAGGCCACCTAGGTGCCAGAGGACTGGAAGAACTTGTCAAGAACTCATTAGGGATCTATCTCACAGGTATCACTAAAGATGAGTGTGCAGCCTGTTCAACAGCAAAGGCAATGAGGAGAGTTTCCAGAAGACCTCCAGATCATAGGCTAACTGCCCCAGGCGACTATATTGTTGTCAACTTCTTCGCTATAAGCAATATATATAATGGCGAGAAGTATGCGCTCATTATGGGAGATAGATAGTCCCGCTTCAATTAGATCTGAACACTGCAAACCCAGAAGGAAGGTCTTGATGCTATACAGAGGCTTATAACCCTTCTTAAAAGGCAATACTATATCACAGTTCAGGTTATAAGACTTGACTGGGAGACAGCACTCCAGAATGCCTTCAACTTATAGGCAGCTATAGAAGGAATCCTAGTTGAAAGATCAGCAGATTACACTGGTGCCCAGAACCCAGCAGAGAGGCTTAGAGGAATGTTGTTTATGATCGCAAGAGCCTTAAGATTTCAGTCAAGATTCCCAGAGTCTATAGCCCTAGAACTTATCAGAGCTGCAGTATATCTCTGCAATAGGATAGGACATAAGATCCTTAGCTGGAAGACCCCTGAAGGGATGATCAACAAATAGCTTAACCAACAGCCAGGCTCAACGCATCAAAGGTTAGAGAAGCCTCAACTTGGACATCTCAAGAGATACAGCTGCAGAGCCTATCCCCTCACCAAGGAATATAAGAGAGGTGAGCAGAAGTCAAATAAGACTCTGCCAAGGGCTTATATTGGCTATCTGTGTGGGTATGACAGCACTTCTATCTATAGGATCTGGGTACCAGCCCTAAACAAGGTCCTCCGAACAAGAGATGTCATATTTGACGAGAAGATTGTGTACGACCCTAGTACGGAGGATACCAGTCTTCTTCATCGTCAAGAACTTCAGTTCCAGTTCGAGGAACTAGAGGTCGCCTTTCCGGATTCTCAGGCAGAAGACTTACCTATAGACTCTGTCTTATGGGATGGAGATGAACTCCTCCATAAAGCATCTAAGCATACCTATCTTTTACAGAAGGACAGCAGTACAGATGGACCCAGCAACATGCCAACTCCACAACAGTCTCTAGGACCAGAAGAGACTGATCCTGGTCCATCTGAGGGGGTGCAAGAACAACAAGAACAACAAGAACAACAAGAACAACAAGAACAACAAGAACAACAAGAACAACAAGAACAACAAGAACAACAAGAACAACAAGAACAACAAGAACAACAAGAACAACAAGAACAACGCCAATCATCACCAGAGTCTGCTCAAGCTTTCACTCCACCAACCCCAGAGTCAGCAGAACAGGCAACTATCACTATTAAACCTGAGATCATTATATCTCTGTTGCCTTCTCCACAGCCTACCGCTATCACGCCAGATCCAACTTAAGGATCAACAGCAAGACAAGGTCGCCCTATAGGTAGCAGAAACAACAATATCTACAACAGGGAAACACCAATTGGTCAGGTGAACCGCCAGCCTCCTAACGCCACCAGATCTTCAGGAAGGCGCCGAAACCAAAGAGAATCATCTGGTATATCTAACTTCACCCTGTCAACCAACACAAGCAAAGATAAGGACACTATGGACGCCTCTGCCTATGATCTTAGCATTATATACAGGAAGGATCTTCCTCCTGAGCCAACCATATATGCTGAAGCCAAACAACACTAATACTGGCCAAAATAGCTAGCAGCAATAAATGTTAAGAATAAGATAGTGTGGGAAAAGGGCACTTTTGAAGCTATCAGACTTAAGGATGTGGATCAAGAGGAGCATAAGATTCTTCCCCTCAGATAGGTGTTCATATATAAATTCGATAAGCATGGACGACTGCTTAAGTTTAAAGCAAGGATCTGTGTTAGAGGAGATCTCCAACCTATGAATAGAATAGAGACCTATGCCTCTACCCTTGCTGGAAGATTATTCAGAAGTCTTATAGCTGTTATAGCAAGGTTTAACCTGGATATAATTCAGCTTAACGCTGTAAATACTTTCACTAATGCTAATCTAGATAAGATTGTCTATATATAGTTTCCACCAGGCTTTAACTGTTCAGGCTACTGCCTCATACTTCGCAAGGCTCTCTATAGGCTAAGAAGAAGTCCACTACTATAGCAGAAGAGTCTTAAGACCACTCTTATGCTTTTAGGAGTCACACCTCTAGATGAGGATAACTGCATCTTTATCAGCAGACATCTAGTTATCTTCATCTTTATGGACGATATTACAACTGCTTATCGATCTAGAGATAAAGCAGAAGTAAGGAAGCTTATTAATAGTCTTAAATCTAAGTATAAGATAAAAGAGATAGGAGAACTCAACATCTTCCTAGGCGTTCAAATCACTAGAGACCAAAGGCAAAAGAAGCTTTAGCTATGCCTGGATAACTATATCACTAAGATCTGTGATGAATTCAAAGTTGACAGAGGGAGGAGAGGTCCTATGACACCTATAGGATCTGATAAGCTTATCCTAAACCTAGGTTAAGCCTCACCCTAAGAAATTCATCACTATTAACGTATATCTGGATTAATTAACTATGCTGCTATCATAGCAAGACCAGACATCTGTTACACTTCATCCAGACTTTCAGAGTTCAGCATAAACCCTTCCCACCAGCATCAGCAAGCAGCCAACAGTTGTCTCAGCTATCTCTGGAACACTAGATACTTCACTATTAAGTTCAACTGTGAAGGCAAAGGCACACTCTTCTATGCCTCAGATGCTTTATTTGCAGATGATATAGTCACTAGAAAGAGTACTAAGGGATATATGATGATGCTCTTTAGAGGTCCTATTGCATGGAAGTCTTCTAAGCAGCGAAGAGTTGTTACATCTAGCACTGAAGCAGAGCTTGTGGCCCTCACTCAGGCTACAAAAGAATACCTAGCTACCACACGTCTAGTCAAGGAACTTCAACTTAAACTTAATAACGACTTCAAGATGTAATGCGACAATCAGCAGACTCTCAGATTGCTTACAGCTGAGAGACCTTAAGCAATAAGCAAACTTCATCACATCAACATTAATAACCTATAGTTACGACAGGAACTTCGTACTAATATCATTAAGTACGAGTGGGTTAAGACTAATGAGATGGTTGCAGATAGAACCACGAAGGCTTTGCCACCTCAGAAACACAGTTTATTCCTAGCTCAGCTTGGGATGACAGATGTTCAGAGATACATCGAAACTGCAGATCCCACAGTATAAAAGGGTGTCACTCTCAGATCTATTCAACTGGAAAGTCAGAGACCTATTATACTGTCTTCTTAAGGGGTTATCAGCAGGCTGAAAACACTACTAACAACAACAGATTCAACATCACAAACTTCATAATCGTTTATACTGATTTCTATCTTTTGAGTACATAGAATACTGATAGTTGAAAAGCTCTCTATTCAGGGAACAGCCGCTCTTTTTATACTGATCTATTCTTCGATCACAGCAAAACGGGCATAACGGCCACTCTTTTAGTTATGTCGTATAGCAGAGATTCATCCCATTTTGGAATCATCTCTGAGGGGGTGTGTCAGGCCCACATTGCATAACCAAGTCAAGCATCTCAACTATGCATCGGCTATTGTTTCCTAACCCAAATATGGCTTATTTGCATCTGTTTCATGTAGTGTAGCACATCTCGATGGATCTGGCCAACTGGCCACTTATCCTTTACAACAACATAGTCAATTCAATGAAGACAGTTATGCCGTTACTCGCTGGTAGCCACGCTGTCGCCCTGACATGGGACATATGTGACCCAGTGACACAAGGATGATCAGGGATCCTCGGAACGGAAGAACTATGGGCAGGTCACGTGACCTCGGGAATAGCACGGACAAGGACGGCCGCAGGACAATATGTTCAATATGTGAGATATTCCAACTATTCTGGAATATGTGGGATATCTGAGATATTCAACATAGGCAGCCTGAAGGAATAGTTTAGGACTTATATATAGGATGTACTTAAGCCTGGCTTAGGGACAGACTTCCATAGCTCTTCAGCAATCAATCTTATATTCATCCCTCGGCTACTTTCAGCATATCTTACACTGCGAATATCTTGTTAGGCTTATGACTGATCACCACAACCCTTCAGACTCTGATCTACTCAGAATGACCCCAGAGACCTTCTGACGATAAGTTACTGTTTATTAGTGTCATCCCTCAGCTTCTGTTAGCAGACCCTACTATTGGATTAGCTGACCGTAACATCTAACGTCTATATACTAAGACTATTATAGTCTCTTAAGTTGTAGTAATAGGACTAGCAAACTATATAGATATATTGTTTCTTTATGTTTTATACTATTTTTATCCCTTTAGTATTGAATACGCTTTAAAGGTGGTTAGAGATGTTAGGTGTTACGGTCAGCTATCCGACAGTAGGGTCTGCTAACAGAAGCTGGGGATTGATACGTTCTAACAGTACACTAGGTCGTGGTCGTAGGTCGTAGTTCGTAGGCTGTAGTAGATCGGGTCTTCAGAGGCCAAGGTGATCAGTCTTAGACTTAATAAGGGATTTGCAGTGAAGGTAAGCTGAGAGTATCCATGAGGATGAATACTAAGTTGATTGCTGAAGAGCTATAGAAGTCTGACCATAAGCTAGGCTCAGGGTCATACTATATACCAGTCTACCTGTGGGGTGTGTTTCTTTATACCTTGAGTTGAACTGGATCATTCTGATCCTGAATGATCTTTTGGCCCCCAAGTCGTGTTCGATCATATTGATCCCAAATGATCGTTATCTTATCGTCACATGATGTGTACTATAGTTCTTCTGTATCCGAGAGAGTCCCCTGTTGTTCCCATGATCCTGCAGTACAAATGTCTTGTCCTAGCCGCCCGATGCCCAAGTGGGTCGTTTAGCTGTTACTCCTGCATAACGGGTCGTAACACTAGGGACCAGGCTGCTGGACAGACACTTCAGGACGCAAAAAGAAGAAAAACATACAACAACTGGCGTTCGCCGGTCGTCACCAACCCGACTACTACTCCAACCCTCACTGGCTTATCTATGGGAGAGCGGACGGGATCCCGAGTTCTCCAATGGGTATGGTCGTATGTGAGAGGAAATGCCCTCAATCTCATTGATGTAGCACGCAGGCCAAGGTCCCGTACGCGGACGGCCGAGTTCGCGAAAGCCTCGTCCTACAATAGAGCACGCACGACGGGCTCCTTAAGCTTAGCGGCTCAATCCTAGGATATCAATTGCGCCAGGTGAATCATCTCTGCAATATGAGCTGCTTTGTATTTGAACTCGAAGTGCAAATCAGACGAAAGTCGGACGTGGCCAAGTCCTAGCTATTGACACCTCGACCTGCCAACTTCGACTCCAAGTCAGGAGCTGGGCGAGGCTGCAACCTTTTTGGTAAATCTGTTGGAATCGGAATATGTCTTTATCAATTTTGCTGCCTGCAGTTTGGATATGCTACGCTTTGGCTGATGGATTGTCCAAGGCACCTCAACGTCACTGCCGGAAGATTCAAGTAGACGAAGAAAGATATTTATTTACTGCCATCGAAGTTAATGAGCAAATAGGCTCGTCAAGATCCTCAGCGCCAAAGTTCTCGCCCGCATTTCTCCCTTTTGTAACACATGTCTTGGCTAACCCGCCTTTCGAATTAAAACATCACGCTCAAAGTCCGATTTATTCGAAGCTGCCGCCTAATCAAGACGCCTTTTCTTGGTCTCATTCTGGATCGTCTTTGACACGCTCTTGTGGCAGCTGATGCGTGCGTCAGGGAAGGTTTGACGAAGGCTGTCCTCGAAGTCTTTGACCTTTACAAATGAAAGCCCATTCTCGCAGCCTATATCAAACGAGACCCAAGTGAATGCCTCCTGTTCGTAGGCAGGCTGTGCAGTAAACTTGGGTTTGTCGGAGTCGGGTTTGTCGGAGTCGGGTTTGTCGGAGTCGAAGGCGGGGACCTTGCTCTTGGATTCTTCGGGAGATGCAATGCTTGCGCGGATGGGTGTGATGTCGGGCTCAGCGTCTGGTATGTGATGTCAGTGAGGATGGCTGAGGATGGGAAATCAGAGAGAAGACTGACCGATCTCGGACTTGATAGCTTTGGGCGTGGACGAGGCATCGCCGGCTGTGTTGCTTGCGGCATCCGGTGCGGAATCTAGAGCAGGAGCCATGATCCAGGCCTGATTCGGACGATCTTGGGAGACGGTTGGGAGAATTGAACAGGCCAGGCAAGATCGTTGGAAGCTGAAGAAGGAGGCTCGCTGTGGCAGATGGCGACGAGAGGCTGACTGGAGGAGAAGAAGTTGGAAGGGAAGAAGATTTGAGGGTGGACAAGGTTCAGAGGAAGGTATGGTCACTGGTCACGTTCGAGGACACTGGGAAGGTGCCCCTGAGAGAGACGCAGCTTCTGCAAAAGAAGCAGAAGGTTAGGCAGGCAGTTTCTCGGTGTACCTCGAGGGAGAATGTATCGTAGGAAGGAGCCAGTCCGTCCCAGACAGCTCTTGCCTACGCCATCATTACTTCTGAAAGATCTCATTGCATAGGCGACCTCTGGTTCGATCATCAATTGCATCTACCCTCGTATCACGGCTTGCCTGTGCGACTTTGCGCCGTCGCGCTTGACTGTGGCCTCATTCTTAGAGTCTTTCATCGGGACAGCCTGCATTGGTTTTCGTCACAGCCATTTCCCTGGCCCGTCCCCACTGTCAGTTGGATGAAGGCTTTTCTGGGTCTTGCAGATCTCACTGGATCATAACAGGTGCAGTGCCATCGAGCCAGCAGTCATTCTCAAGAACGAGTGCTGGCCAAGAAGCCGCTTCGCCGTGGCCGAACAACAATTCCCGAACTGGGTGCAGACAGTGGTAATTGTTATTGAAAGAAGTCAGTCGAATTAACTACATTCACATCTCATGCCCTCTCTATAGCATGATATGCGCCACACCTAGTGTCGCGAATACATTCGTCGTGGTAATGCGTCCCTCACTTTCATTCCCTATTGTCCTCTTTTTTACGAGCCAGTCGACAAGAGAATCAACCGCCGAATCACAACCATTCCCAACCAGAAATGCCTCAAATACCCCCTGAACATCGTCACTACTCTTAACGCGGGGTAGATAATGACGCGGACCGCCCAGCCTCCGTACCGCATCGTCAAAAAGCCCAGGCTCATGGAGCGTAAAGTATGCTATAAGAGAAATGACAAGACGTCCAGTCTGGCATCCATGCTTTTGGCCCTCCGGCAGACGTTCCTTGCGCCCTCCCTCGCTGAGATCACGTGAGCAGAAAGGCAGCCCTGTCGGAGCCCAGCAAGTATAACAAGCCACTCGTGGCGGAAAGCCGAACCTTTTTTTCAGAAGATCACTTAAGCGATTGACCGACTCTGATCCTTTTGCCAGTGGGCATCCCTTCTTTGGGTGCTCGTCGCTGCTGAGAGGGATGTTGGGGTCGGTTCGCGAAGATGTGTAGCAGTACAGACATCTTGGTCGGGCTTTCTCTGGGTTGAAAAGGAAACAAGCGTGGTTAGAAACATCCAAGGCGTCTCACCGCGTTACACTACTCAAGGTTGAGTGTGTTTGGTTGCCGTCAGTACCAGAGTCAGGTCTTGCTCGCTTTCGACAAGATTGAGGTGTCAGGGACGGTGCACTAGCACTTGCTTGGAGTGTTTGGTATTCTGTGATCGACGACCCTCCCTTTTCGGTGTTTTCGGGAGGCAGATTGTTTCGGACAGTCAAGTTGAAAGTTTGACAGTGCTTTTGCATGCAAAGGTCGCAAAGTGCAGGTCCGTATTGCTCGAGACACGTTGGAACTTCGATACCAATGAGATATTTGGTCAGGTCCTTGCGTCGGCAACTGCCTCGAAAGAAATTGAACAATGCTGGGTGAGATGTTTCCATTCCACCCACACTGTCTGATAGATGGATGCTCGTGATACGAGCTGGGCCATCAGGCTCAATCTGCAGTGTCAAGGGTATCGCGCACTTAGGATTGTCGTAGTTGATGACGAGCGACACGTCTTGAAGGTCGAGTGCCGTCATTTGTTGTGAAGAAGCGAAAATGGTCTGCTTTTGGGAAGTGCGCCATGCATGGAGTCTGCGGCGTCGTTCTTCTATAGGGTCTGCCGAGTCAAAATAATGACACCCGTATTCATCAGCCAAGGCGATGGCCTGAGAATTACTTGCGGTCAGAACGACAGCAAGCTGCCTCCCTTGAGCTTCTTTTGTAGCGGAAGATTTGGCTGCAGCATCGATTGCCGCGTGAAAGTGATTGAGAGCGGTTGAAAGGCATTGTCGCATCAGAAAATCGCTTTGGCTCTCCACCGCGCTATAAACCGTCTTCCAGTTGTTTGTTGGAAGACGAATGCAGTCAGAGTCGGCTTTGACATCGTATTGTCTGCAGAACCCAACAACTGCTGATGGGGGCAGAAGGCGTGTTATGAGGACCCTTGTCAATCGGCAGCGGCGGTCAAGGTAAATCTCAAGGGCGGCTATCAATCCAAATTGACCGTACTCGGATTGACCGTAATGACAGCCGAACGTCGGGTAGGAGAGCTCTGAGTTCTCGACGATGATTGCGTTGACAAGCCAGCTCCGAACAAAGTCAAGGAAATCAGGGTCGAGTATAGTTGAAGGAGAGAGTACCACACAAGTCCCGGCTTGGACCTCTAAGAGCGAGGGCATCTGCCGGCAGACGTTCCAATCGATGGCATGATACCCGGCGTCTTCCAGCGTGCTTACAGTGTCGACGTGACCGGAAGCATGCTGCGTCACCACAAGCGTGATGCTCTTAGGTGAAGTGGTCCAGGGTCTTAGGGACTGCTTGCGAAGCACGCATTTGAGGTCGGCAGCGACAAAAATGGTGTCGTGCGGCGGCTGGGATCCGTGGTTAGCCATGCTCGAAAGAGTATCGCAGGCCCTTGGGTCGACCTTCGGCTGGAATTTGAAGACTGCCCGGTGTGAATAAAGGGAGGTTCGGTAATTGAATTCATGGACGATGGGGATTGCCTGAGGTAGGTAGGTAGGTAGGTAGGTAGGTAGGTAGGTAGAGATAACGCCCGTGTGGGAGAAGTTGCGGCTGCTGGGAAAGAGCACCTTGATCTTCAGACCGGCAAAGAAGGTGCTGGCTTGCTGAGAGGAAGGCACCTGCTTGCTGAGAGGAATGCACCTGCTTGCCGTAGAGAAGGGTTTGTGCTACCAGGTAGGTAGGTGCTTAAAAGGAAGGCACGGGGGTTGGAGGCTTTTACCAGTCGCAAGATTCCGCATTTCGTAGACCTCAGTGTCTCTGAAAAAGTACATGTCGTGTTAGGTACCTAGGAAATAAATGATTTTAGACTTTTTTTTACCTGCGGCAGTCAACAAGGTGCGCCTCCAGGCGGCAACCTGCGAAGAAGAAAAGTTAGAAGGGAAGAAAGAAGTGATTTTAGACCTGCAGAAGGAGTCGGTTCTATGTATGAAAATCGTAGGTATCTGCGGGCCCGTCGGTGACCTTCCTCAACACTTCCTCAACACTTCCATCTCTCCTCCCTAGGTGTTCAACAAGCAACACCTCCCGACATCTACCGACCGACGAGACGTCAATCCATCGACAACGAAACTTCCCTCGTGGATGAGTGCATAATGGAGACTGTTGACCCGGGCTTCGTCGAGGAACTCCATGCTGACCTGGCGCGCAAATACAGAACCCACGCCGCCATCGAGACAGCATGGCGTTCTTTCGACAAATCGCAGCGAACACGATGCTTGAAAGCTGGAAGCAAACGGTGACATCTTGCGACACCCATTGGACACGAGCCTCGGCAACGTGTACAAATTCATTCCAGAGTGGAATGTTCGCGACCTCACCGAACCCGACTCCGAGCAGATGTTTGCGTCCCTCAGTCAGTCGGCGAACTCATCTTGCTGAGGCAATTATACATGCTGCAGTGCCTCAACACCGTGGTCGAAGATGTTCTAGAAATTGACTCTCGGACCCGGAATCAGAGCCAGCGACCAAAGAAAAGCAGCGACGACCCAACACTCAGCAATCTCGCCAAATTGTCTGTGCAAGATGTACCCACCAAGGTTGCAATGCCAGATATCGCCGCAGACGCCCGCGACCGGAGCGCAACATTCCTAGAACGGGTAGAGATGTTGTCAGCAGAGCCCGTTGTTCTCGCTCATGCCACGAACGTGGCTTTCTTCAGCCGCACAGTTCTTGTCCCTGACGAAAAGGGCCGCAGTCTTCCTGTACACACCGACAAGCACATCAGCGGCGCCGTTTTCGAAGCCGTTCATGGCGAGGTCCAAGCCGCGGCAATCTGGGCCTACATTGCCCGCCTTGTCGAAGCCCTCGAAGCGTCGGACCGCGACAAGACGTACCGCGCCCTTATTCTTCAGGAGCTTTCAAACATGTGTCAGTTGGAGTACGAACGCACACAGGCTCTGTTCCGGCGTCATGTCGCCACCGGCGCTGGCCCCAAACGATTCAAGCGCATCTCCAATGCCTACGACAACGCGGGCAACGCGCGTCTCGCCATGAAGGGCAAGCCCGAAGACCTGACGAGAAGCGACCCTTTGTTCAGCTACCTTCTTCGCCTCTGTCAGCCTAGCACCGCACCCTCCAATGCTACGGACTGGTTGAAAAAGCTGGGCGATCTGTACACGGCCCATCCAACGGAGCGTGAAAGACTGGACGAACGCCAAGCTGACGTCTTTGAAAACCGAAATCGACCTGCGTGACTACGCCGTGCCCATCGACAATCTCTTGGAACCCGGGATGGCCGAGGGAGCTCTCGCAGCCCTTGAGGAGTTCGTGGTGGCTAACGCCGGTACAAAGATCGGTTTTCTCTACCAGGATCTCATCACTGAGTGCTTCGCTGACCTCGAGAGTCGATATGAGCAGATGAAGATCGACAAGGCAAAGAACACACTACCCGCAGCTTGCATTGATTCGGCCGTCGTTGAATCCAAAGAGGCCATGATTAGTCGTCGGAAGGAAAAGCTGAAGACGCGACCGTCCCAAGCATCGACTTACGAGCTGAGCCCCAGACATTCCGTGACCGCAGAGCAACCACAGCTTAGCGCATCATCGGAGACCATTCAGGTCAGCGTGTCAACTGCTGACTTCTTTGCCAAATTGTTCTCAAAGCCCCAAGCACGGAGATCGACAACTTGGACATCATTCGAGACCGCCATGG